ACATGAAGAGCAACAAAAAGAGCACCATCACATGCCAAAAACATATCATAAACACACCAAACATATATACTGTAATTTATCATTAGAACGAACACTACATGCCCTTTTTGTGAGATTAATGCTCGATTTCACCATTTGGGAGACCATCCATGACCATCCATGACCATCCACATCGGTCGAACATCAAGACGACCGCGCCAGGCGAACTCGGGCGAGGCGCGTTCGACACGACGCCGCGGCGCTTCGACTCGTGTGGCGAACTCGGGCGAGGCCGCAACTCGGAGAGGTTGTTTTTGGCTTCCCTGACCTACTTGCGATGGCCTGCAACCTACTTGCGATGGACACCAACCTATTAGCGATGGCCTCCAACCTGCTCACGGCCTCCAACCTAGAAACGATGACCTCCAACCTAATAGCGATGGCCTCCAAGTGGTTTTTGACTTCCTGACGATGCTGAGTTGGCTTTCATCCCAGGGATTCCTAGCCAACTGTGCAACAATTATGCCTTTTCATTCCATAAAACCAGCCAAGTTCGGCATAAATGTTGCATAGTTGGAAGATCCAGGTATGGGTGTGTAGCTCAAATAGGGAGAGCTCCCAGGCAGCGACCCCCTGGAAAAAGGATGAACAAGGAACATTATAGACCAGTCTACCCAGCCAGGGCCAGGGTGCCTCCCTATTGCCAGACACCCATTTGATGGGTGTCATATGTTTGCGTTTTAGATGTCCTGTTTCTTTTGTTTCCCACGCACCCTCCGGGAGAAAAACGGTTGGACGGAATGCTTAATCGAAGCCGGTCGCCAGGGAAACGGCCTACTCGTGGGTCGATGAGGTCGTCGTCTTGGGTTTGGGGTATCTAACTCCAACAGTCCATGGGATATGACCCTACCCTAAGAAGAGACGAATCCTTGCTCCCTCCAGGCTACAGGGGTTGGACCCTCCATAGCAGAGGGTCCGGACCCTCAAAACCTGTATTTCAGGGCCCGGATTCTTGGGGTATCAAAAAAGAAACAGCCGGACCACTCATTTTCCGAGGTACGATCTGAGGGTTCAAGGTGCAAGAACATTTGATTGAACCGTCACATACTGTGAACGTGCGTAGGCCATCAGCTGCCGTCTACGCGGACTGTGAGTCAAAAAGCTGGGGATTGGTGAAGATCCCCAAGTAGAGTGCTTTCAGACTAAACACAACACTCCCTAGACAATGGGTGTTCATTTATTTTTTATTGACCACCTCTTGAATTTCGCTGGCACCATGAGCATCATGAGGTCAGCCAACCCATCCAGGGAGTGAAATGAGTGGAGACCCCTTTCTCCACCTGGCCCCATCCAGCCTCTCCAATGACTGCCCTTAGCTACGTTCGTAGCAATGCCCTTTGTTCCGTTCGTAGCAAGGCCAGGTGCCCCGTTCGGTTCGCGGTCCGATCGCTCCGGACGAAGACGTCGCGATGCCCTTGGCTACATCGGACTCTGTTTCGGTCGGTGGCAGGTCACACCGCGCCTGCTGAGCATGGAGAGCGCGACGCCAAGATGGGATGAGTCGGCCGCGATCTCCAGGAAAAGTGGATCATCTGCAAAAGCTTCTTTTGGGGACTGGGGAACAAGAACAGGTGGAAGAGGAGTAATCAACAAAATAAACCAAACAACTTTGGGTTCACATATTTCATGGTTAACCTTTGAACCTTTACCTTCTTCCTCAACCAGCCTTTCTTCTCAACCAGCCTTTAAACCTACTGGTCGAGGGAGCCCTCGTACCGTTGGACTTCGTCTGACCCGGGCAGCGCGCCGCCTTTGTGCCGCTCAGCTCGGGGCAGAACGACGAAGGAGAAAGATCTCGTACTCTTGAAACCTTCTCAATGGACAAGATGTCAGTTGTGCAGCGGTCTTTGATTTTTGAGACAGAAGAATACGGATTGGACCCACGAAGTCGTGTGAAAGAGCGTCACATCGGACATCTCATCGGCTTCCTCTCATGCCACATCTGCGTCCGCCAAGTCCGCCAGCGGGACCAGACTCCGGCGACACGTCGAGAACCGACACGCCGAGGCTCCGAGGCCATGGCGAAGGCCATGTTGCCTCTTGGAGCGAGGAGATTCGACCGGGGCGGAGGGTCTGATTTCGGTAGCGGAGGGTTTGCACCAACCGCAGCGCTGCGCTATACTACCTCGTAGCGATGCCCTTGGTCACTAGTAATGCCAGGAGCTAGCAGCAAGAAGTTTGCAAGAAGTCAAACCAGACCTCAGAATTCTGGGAAGGTGGGTTTTGGGGGACTTCTTTTTCCTGTGGTGGTTTTTGGGACCTACTGAGCAATGTGCAGCACATGGTTCTTTATGGTTCTTTTTCCGCCAAGAGATTTTGCTGCAGAAGCCCCGTTCGGAGCCCCAAAATTGGGGCAATTCAATCCATTTATGAGAACATCTGAAAGATGGAGTCATTTGAGTATTTGGCATGTCTTCCAAGATGACTATTGACTATGGCGTATTTCATCCAAGTATAGTATAATATAGTATATCCATTTGTAGTAGAGAAAAACAGACATTCTCTTCCAAGATCTTGGCTTCTACGCTTCTTCGACGGATTTTTGGATGACTTTGACGCGATGTGACTCAGCGGTCGGAGGTCGGATGCTCATTAAGGGTGAAACCGGTAGGTCGGTAGGTAGGTCGGTTCAACCTACTTCTGCGATGGCCTCCAGCGCCCACAACAGCCTCCAGAAGCCTCCATGTCAACAAAGTTGAAGGTTGATGAAGCATGATCGAGCCACAAGGTCACGAAGTGGCAGAACAGGCCCCCGGAACACAGGATTAGTCTACCCATACATGGACTTTGTCCGCATAAGTCCCTATGGATCCAGTCGTACCTTCACCGACCCGGTTCAGTACGACGACCTTGCTGGCACCTGCATAGCGTGTGTCGAAGACATCACCGTACCTGAGGAGAAGGTACGAAAACAGATCCCTAGGGTACGAAAACGTTGCAGCCAGATTGCCGCAGCCGGAGAACGACGACTTGAGAACCGACGCACCATGAGACGTTCGCGGCACCACGCACCGCGAACTCGCTCGCTCCGATCCTCCGGGCATCGAAGCATCGGACCACGGCTTTTCATAGTGACCTGCAGCCTCCTGTGGGGACCAAGCAAAGAACAGTATTAAAAACAAACATAAAACAAACTATAGAACTGTAATACGTAGGCCAGATTTGGTCACACCGTTCTGTGCAGGAAGGACCCATAAGGATCCAATCTTGCTTTGAGGCATCAGAAAGACAACTAGGAAACAAAAAGCACCGGGACATGACCGTTGAACAAGAATTTTCGAGTCATGACTTCTTCAGCTCTTTTTTGGAGAGGCGCCCCAGCACCGCGCTAGTCACGGCTTTCATATATGACCCGTCCATCTGACCCGTCGGAAAGGACCTGAAGCTCTGGGGGGAAGCGGCAGTAGTCGATCTGTCTTCAATCAACAACCGTGTTGGTCTTTGTGGCTACACTGATGGAGGGGAGAAAAGATGCGAGAAGCATCGCACCCTTCGAAACAAGGACAGATTATATTCAGTTGTCACATACATCCTGGTTTTGTTCTGATTTTGCTGTGAACGAACGATTTGGACACTCACAAGACTGAGCTGAAAAGCGCCCCCTACACAAGGCTGCGCTTTCACAAGACGGTGCGTGGGTCAGGGGTCTCAGCTGGACGGTGCGTGGGTCAGGGGGGTCTCCATTGGAAGTCAGGTTTTTGGATCGAAGAAATCACCCAAGCCTCCATGTTTCTTGGGATTTGAGTGGAACATGGTACTCCTGTTTTCAGTACATGTTCAACAATCCCTAGGGATCCAAGTACCTTCTCAGAAGGTACTTGGACCCTCAAAACCTATATAAGAGTGTCTCCAATCACCTTCTGAGAAGGTACTTGGATCCCTAGGGAATGGAAGCAATTCTCAAGAAGACAACCTTCACACCTCGCTGGATATGGATGCACAACTTCAGTCCCTTTGACCGGTTGGACCGGGTCACCGTGGGGTGGTCACCGGGGGTTTTGTGTGGTTAATTTTGGTGCAGCACGGGAGCTTTCTTCACCCTAGCCTTGTCCGGGTGAGGACCCCAAAACAAATCAGTGGACCTGGTTCTGTCAGCGCATCGTATACAGCTACATTCGGACTCAGGACGATGATATCAATCAACTTGGAGCTTCAATACCTTTCGAGGGTTCCAGGTCCCGTCTGACCCTTTAGAGACTCAAGTGTCCTTCAAGACCTCAAGGGGTCACCTCCGACGAGCCCTCTTGTTCAAAGGTTCAAGCCTCTTGGGTGGCTCATCCTAGAGACTTATACCTTGGCAGCCGATTGGTTGCAGGGATGTATCCTTTCAAGTCTCAACAATGCAAAGTTCCAATTTGCAACAAACAGCAAATATAGGGTTAAATGAAGGTGCAGGGCAGTGGGGAGTACTGGTATCTTCCAGCCACCTTGCTTAGGATCCAGCACCCGTCCGAATAGCGTTTCTGGCGCGAGCACCGGCCTCATCGACCAGATTCTCTTCGGCACAAGCAGTGCAACCCAGAGCAACAACAGAGCGCAACAAAAAGCAGTAACAGAAGGAATTCAAGTCAATGGAATATGTTTACTGTTGCTGTTACTGTTATATACTATTGATATGTTGTTCAGTAACAGTCAATGGAACACATTATCATGAACAATCATATTCAAGTCACTGGCATCGATCCCCATTGGCCGCCACACATTCTTCATCCGGATCAGTCAGAGGATGGTTCCAAGGGTTTGCCGCAGCGGCTTTCCACCAAGCTCAGGAAAAACAGACACGAACTTCGAAGGGTTCGCCCAAGATGACCAGCAACTGTTCCAAGAGATTTCGGTGCTTTTAGGTTGGAGGCCATCGCTAGGTGGTTCTTCCTGTTCCAAAAGATTCCTGTTTCTTCCTTTGAGCCGACGGCGTCCAACCAGCGTGCGTGTGGCTGGCACCGGCGTGGCCCCGGCGGGAGATGCGCTGCTTGGGGCTGTTTCTGGGCGTCGTCATCCTTTGCAGGCCAACGATGTATCGTCTCTGCAGACGTGTAATCACAAGACAAACTGGATATCAGATCCCAAATGGGTCAACACTTCTCACCCCATCCCTTGTTCATGACTGGTGGGTCAAAACATGTCAAAACTGAGCCTCCAGAGTCTGAACATTGTTCAACTTGATATGAGCGACATGACTGAAAGTGCTCAAGCGGGAGGAAGCTTGTTTCGGACTCAAAATACTCGAGCAAGCAGAGGTTTGTGTGGGAATGCCCACACCAGATGAATCACCAGCTCATAGAAGGTTCCGACTGTCTGGAGAATAGGCACCAAATTGAAGGCATCAAGTAGCTGTAGCTCAATCCTATGCCAAACTGATCCAAGGGATAATGACAGGAAAATAAGGTAAAGGAAAGGCAACAAACCAGGATATTCCAGGAAACTAGATTTAATCAGGTGTGGCATATTGTGGCATGCATTTTCTATCATTTTCTATATCGATAGTGATATTATGGGCACAAGAAAACGCAGGAGAAAACCCAGGTCTGATGATCTGCTAGAAAAGGAATGGACCATAAAAAAAGGGGGAAGCACCGTTGAATAGAATGGGAGGAAAGCTTTGCTAAATGGCGCCATTGTTTTTCTCGGTATGGCTATTGCCCACCATCCTATTGAGCCGACTGACCCGTGGACATTGCAAATAACGAGAATATTATAACCACAGGTCAGTGAACATGCCTCCTTCTACTGTACGAGGGGTGTTCGATGCGCCTTCTGTAGCGAGATGATGCGTGATTTATACAAGACGTGTTACATAGGCTCCGTTGATACAAGTATATGTCTACTCGAACCTCATGAATCAAGTATGAAAGGGACACACACACATGGTATGGCTGTCCAAAGGTGTCGCGGCTTTTGGACTTCCGAAGTTCACGTTTCCATCTCACCACCCCAACCCTGGACGCGGGACCAGTCGCAGCTGGGTAGCAAGCTGGGTCTTGCACAATTCTAGCTAAACCCAGCTATAGTGAATATTGAAGATATTGCACAATACGCCAAACAGATCTTCAATCTCAGCTTTTTGGATCTTTTTGGTGTATTTACACGACCCAGGCAAGGTTGTGTGTCAAACACGACCCAGCAATATCTTCGTGTGTCAGCTGTAAATCTCCAGGCTACCCGACTTCCGTCCCGGCACGACGGTCGCAGGCTGGGCAGGACGTTCCTGTCTTCGACGCAGAGGTTCCACCGAACGAGGAGTTCGGTGGACTGGGAGGAAGATGGGGAAGATGGGGCCCTGGGAGGTTTTTCTGCTGATAAAGGTTGACATTTGCAGGGTCCTGGGGTGCTTTCCAGGAAGATCAAGGTCTGTAAAGGTTGTTTTCCTGATAAAGGTCTGCAAAAGTTGCCCGAAGCAAAGGTGGCATTCCCAGGGTCGGCAAGCTGATATAGAGCAGAAGAGGTTACCAAACAAAGCTTCCGCTGTTCGGCGCGCAGCTGAAGCTCCCAAACAGATCCGACGTGTAATTGAAATTCAGCTACCAAGCTCTATAGGAGATCAATTTGGGATGCTAAGTTTGGAGATATCATTATGTCCTGACCCAAGGTTCACCTCGCATATGTTCTTATGAGGAATGCAAACTCTTGCATGAAGGATCTGCCGGGCTATCCATTGCAGACTCCTCACCGGTGTCTTCAGTGTCAGAAGAACAGATTCTGAAGATCAAAAGCTAGTGAATCATAACTTCTAACATCTTATAACTACCTCAAGAAACGCTGAGAGTCCAAAGTGCTCTTCAGAGAGTCCGACAGGGACTCTTGAATACAAAGACCCGGCTGGGTCCATTTTCAGCACCATCCATAGATTCATGTCATCATGCTTCTGCATGCACAAAAACCGCTCAATCAATGTGTCAATGTGGGGTCGCTTAAAAGTGCTGTGGTCACGTAAGTCATTGTAACATCATGCACCTCTCTGTGCTCAAAGAGCTTGGTGCCAAACCGGTCTGGCCGTCCACACCTTTTAACGTGGAAGGCGCATGAAGGTGTAGAGGAGCCCTGGAAACTACCAGGCTCGGCCAAACCGGAAAGACTGACAGGCCCAGGGAGGCCAGGAGCCGAGGGCGCAGATCAAACATTTGTGTGCGCTGATTAAAAGTAGGAGGACCCGGGTTGGACAGGGAAGCCTCCAAGAGAAGAAGCGGCCCCAAAAGGAAAGCGAGGAAAGATAGTAAAGAGGCCTAGAAAGGAACATTGAATCTACTTTACATATTGTTCGATGGTTCTCATCTTTGTGTGAATCTATATACTTTACATATTGTTCGATGGTTTTCGTCTTTGGTGTCAAGACAGGACATTCGGACATCCGTGACTCGCACCAGGATTCCACTTCGTGCAGAGGAGGATGGCATCCTGGATGGAACCTTTAAGGATCGAGTCGACGAAGGGTGGGATCGGATGGATGCCTCTGGGTGTGAGCTTTTGGATCTATCATGGATCATGGATCCATATCTACCTGGAGTCGACCCGGAACGAGGTTACCTCGGGTTCAATGGCTAGGGCGTCGTTGTACCCTGGGTCAGACGTCCCATGTTCGAAGCTACTGGCTCAGTCGGGTCCAGGTACTTGGGATGCACATCGTGCTTGGCACATTTCTTCAAAAGGCCCCCAAGCATCCGGAGCTGGAAGAGTTACTATCCCATGGATGGGTCCAGCTCATTTGGATGGCTTTGATCTCCTCTCGTTAGGGCTGCCACGACCTCACAGGACCCAACCGTTCACCAAAAGGGGCTGTTGTTTCCTTTGGCGTCCTCGCTACTAGGGAGGCCTTGGGCTACTAGAGATTCTATTTTTAGAGCTCTGATAATTGGATTTGGAGGCCATCGTGATAGAACGTTGTTGAAGGCTTTGGCTCGTCTGGAAAGGACAATTATATACTAAAATTCAACAGGAATGATAATTATGGAACACGCTTCTTCATGTAGGTGCTCTGTTCAATCTTGTAGCCCCCTTCCTCAGTGATCTTGAGATCGCAGCCGCAGTGTGACAAGTCCGGCGCCGGCGCCATCCAATCCTATGTTCCACTCCCTGAAGTTGAAGGCCGCCTTCAGCTTGGCTGTCATAGAGTAGCAAGTGGAGCTGTCTGGGGCGACCTCTCTAGTCAAAACAGGACCCCAAACGACCTTGCACCGTCAGGAGGTGGCCTCCACCCTCATCGGCGCATCGCCCCTGCAGCTTGGGAAGAAGACTTCGATGGTGGGAGCGTCCACCTGATGTGAGGGAGGCATGTTTTTGGAAGACCAAGGACGAGTGTGTAGGGGCTTCCAGCCAGGTGACCCATGGTAGAGTGGTGCTGGTAGAGTAATTTGTACCAGGTTACTCTTGGGACCTGGTAGGCCAAGCTGGAAAGATGTTCCACACAATTTGACGAAAACCAGCTGGTAGGCCAATCTGTGGAGACCATTTTGGATGAGTTGTTAATTAAACATGCAAAGTAGTGGTAGTGGCATAATTTGCTTCAGCAAGGTTTTTATTGAAGATATTGAAGTGGAAGACGGCTATAGGAGCCGCATTACTTGTTGCTGCTGGTATTGTTGCAGATCATTTGCTTTTGGTTTGCTGAACAGCTGCTGCTGCTGGTCTGCTGCTGGTGTGCTGCTGGTTTGCTGGAAGCATGCTTACGGGTCGCTTCGGGCAATAATTATGCATGTAGACATCGGTGGCAGTGTGTTTTGGCATTTGTACCTCGTGAACTGCTCCTTGCCTTTTACCTTATAACTATAGGGCCTGCATAACTACTGGTTTTACTGGCTTTCGTTCTTCCTTTCTTTGGTTCCCGCCAAGTGCCTCAGATGTTCCACAAGTTTCCAGGAGTGTTTGTTAACTCACCGAAGGGTGCCTGTGGAAATCATTGACTAGCTGGCCCGCAGTTGATGGGGCCACACTTAAGTAGTCTTTTGTTGATATCTCAATGTACGTATATCATGGTATGCATTCGTCTTATTTGACAAGCCTACTTCCAAATTGCCGCTCCTCGACTCCTCTTCCTTTCCCACCGAGGCCGGGTGTGGAGAAGGAGGCGCACGAGGCCTACCAGGAAGGCTTGAACGCCCAAACCTCGGGTGATCTCGCGACCGCCGTGCGCTCGTGACTCGGCGCGAGCGCCACGCGGCGCGGGTCTCCGCGGGTCGCCAGTGCTGCGGTTTGTGCAGTTCTCTTTGGGGAGAGGATGAGGGGGACTCTTTGATGGTGAGAGCGCTGGGAACGTATAACTGAGAATGGGACGTCTGATAAGTTTGGCCGAAGGGTGAATCAATATAGGAAGACATGCCAAGATCCTCGATGTTTTGAACATGACATTTGGTCACATCATATTACATGATATTACAGTAGCTGATAGTAGCTGCCAGACGCGTTCAGTCATGTAACTCTGCAGCGTTCCTGGACGTCCATGGAACGTCCGCCCCACGGGGACCACGGCGCCGACACACGGCGGAGCTGAGGTATGCGCAGGCCTTGCGACTGGAGTCCGATCCCTACGATCGCCGCTGGGAATTGGCGAGGTTTAGACGGTAGGAGTTGCTACTATTTAGTATAGCCTTCTTAGTTAATAGGTTAGTAGCTTCTTACTATAATAGGTCGTACACTGGCCACCCTACTAGCAATGGCCAACGTTCGTAGCTTCTTGTTACTGATTCAAACGGCTTCACCTTCCATGCCGCTTCACCGACCTGCAGAAGAAAACACCACCACGACGAGACGACCTTTCCGCGGTTTGACGACGCAAATCGCTTCAGAGCGAAAGAACCACCGCGGGACTGGAGAAATCGGGACGAAACCGCCGTTGAGCCCTTTGGTCTGGAGAAGAAAACAAAGCCCTTTGGTCTGGCCCTTTGTTTGGTCTCTGAGCCCTTTGGTCTGGCATTGGAACATGGTTTGGAAACCATTTGGGAAAACATATGTTTTCCTGGATCTTCCAACGACCAAAACAACCATAAAACCAAAACGACCTGAAATGTTTGGAAGTTGAAAGGTCCAGGTTCTTTGATTTTGCTGGGTTTACTTGGAGTTCGAGGGGTGAACATGGAGTTCCGCACATTCCAACCAACATCCTCAACCGACGGACCAGTGCGAAGTCCGACGGACAGACCTGAAGGGGCTCCACTGGAATCGGCCTAAATCAACGGACTGACGCGGACGCCCCTGACGGCAAAAGCCAAGCACCTAACCGGTTCGGTGCACAGGTTCTGACGACCGATGGAATCAGATCTCATAAACCGCAGAGCCTGTGAGGTAGCTACATCCTGTACAACCTAGGGCTTTGCTTCGCTGAGAATGGTGAATACACTAAAGCTGCGAAGTATTACATGATGGCAATCGTGCCTGGGCAGCATCGGATGGTGTCATCTCATTCAATGTTGATTCTCAAATGGTAAACCCTCCCCCCGCCACCATAGCAGCTAGCAATAAATTGCAGGAGCGTGAATGGTGTGCAGTGTAAGCCCCACCAAAATGATTATATGTATTATCGTAGTAGTAAGTAGAAGTAGACGTACTAGTAGTATTAATAGTAGTAGTAGAAGTAGAAGTAGAAGTAGTTGAATAGGTAGTAGAAGTAGAAGTAGTTGAATAGGTAGTAGTAGTAGTAGTAGTAGTAGTAGTAGTAGTAGTAGTAGTAGTAAGCAAGGCGGTTGAAGGGAAGCAATAGCTCTGAGCAATAGAGAACTAAGTGCATGTTACATATTGGAGTTCTTCTCAGGGCTCCACGTTTACATCCCATGGGCTTGTATACAACCCAATTGCCTTTTTGTTTGGAGCAAATGATTTCGATTAGTGTTAATAAGGGTCTTTGAACCAGGCTTTCAGGTCAGAGTTCCAGGAATCAAACAAAGCCTCAGAAGAGATTAGGGGTGAAAATTAAGATAGCTACTAGAAACAAGAAGCTACTAGTGCATCGCTACTAGGAGCAAGGACGCTACGAACGTAGCTCCTGGCCTTACTACTAGTAACAAGAAGCTATTCCCTCCCCGTTGACTCTTTGAGATTGGCGCGATTCCCACTTGTTTCAGCTTCGATGGACGCGTTGTTTGTTTTCCCCAGCGAAGGATTGCACTTGAGAAGGTCGCCAAACCCAAGCTGCGGTCAACATGTGTGATTGAGTGGGATTTGCATGGGCGGAACAAGGCAAACTCATCAAATATATATAGCTCATTGGCATGCAGCAGTCATGTTTAGACCGGTTTGACCTCAAGCCCACCAGAGAGGGGTTCTGGAATTACTATGTGGAGACACAATTATGGGGACAAGACATTTCTTTGGTCAGGTCAGCACAAAACAACCAGTACCAATAGTGGCAAAGAACATGCAAAGAGAAGTCGCAAAGCCTGCAAGCAGGGTCCTTTACTCTAGTCAAGTTGCTTTCCCAAAATCGTCGCAATGCCTCCGCCGCCTCCGCCGCGTCAGGATCAGAACTACGAGCTCTGCTCCGCCTGGAACAATCTGGGCGTCATTTTCCACGCCCCTTGGCCCGAAATGACGAAGGGCGGCGGGTTGGTTCCGCATGGGCTGCCCATGAGACCCGGGTTGGCAGTCCTGCCACTTCTTTCCCGCCGACGTGCGATGACTGAACCCAAGAGTCCGTTGGCCGAGCCCGGACCAGTCCGCGCATCCTCGGAACTGGCTCCATGCCACAAAATGGCTCCATGCCACTCCAGTCCAGAGATGGAGAAGTCACGTGCGCTTCGAGTGATCCACCGGATGGCCCAGTCGTCACACCGACTGTCGTCGTTCCGCCCGGATGGCCCAGATCCGGCGACCTCGCCAGGTGCAGGGCATGAAGGCGGAGCAGGACTATCGCTCCGAGCGCGCTGAGGCGCTCTTCGCCAAGGCGGCGCAGTGCCTCAGACGGACGACGCGGGGGGTTTGGGGAGGGAGGAGCAGGGCGGGAAGGGGTTGTTTGGGAAGGGGATGGGCCAGGCGCCAGGTGCATTGCCACATGTTGGAGATGTGGCGCGCCGGGGGGGTGACATCCAAAGCAAGCTTGAAAGCTGTGGAGAGTTGGATACACTTCATCGAATCCTAATCAGATGTGTTCAAGTTACACCCTGGAAGACTAGCATGGACCCTCAAAACCCCGGTTGATATAGAGGATACATTGTCAGAGCCCATGTTACTTTTCAGGAGGGTAGGGTGTTCTGATGTCTCTTGGAGGAACTGCTCAAGATGGGCTCTCGCCTGCGAAGAGGCCTACAGCTTCCCCCACGCCTCAGTGTGTAGGGTTGGTGATTGATGTGGTGCTCAGTCCGTGCACTGACTTCTCAGTGTTTCAACCAGATGGGGACCAGGATGGACCAGGTCTCCAGAACACCCTGCAGTCGATGGCGCAGTCGATGGCCAGGCAACACCGAAGTTCCTCCCTCTTCACCCAACCAATCTAGAGGTAAGAGAACACCAAAAAGACTATAGGTACTTGAGCGACAACGAGTCCTATCAGCTCTCGTTTGCAATCCCGTTGGGCCGTGGCGGCTCAAAGCAGATCACAAACTACTCTGAAAATCAGAGGAACATGTTGGTGTGAATCTCATGGAAGGGCAGACTTTTGAGGAGCCCCTTGCAGAGCTTTTCGGAGAGGAGGCTATTAAGTTGGAGGCCATCGCTAGTAGGTTGGAGGCCATCGCTAGTCGGTTGGAGGCCATTGCTCTTAGGTTGGAGGCCATCGCTCTTAGGTTAAGCGAGAACTTGCCGTCTTATGAGGAGCCCCTTGCAGAGCTTTCGGAGGAGGAAAAGAGCTTCCTGGTTTGTGCGGCTGCAGTGGTGCTGCTGGCTCTTGGGGCCTGCCTCCGAGCTACCAGCCACCATTGGTCGCATGTGTCCACGTTTTGCAAGAAGAACTTTCTGAACTTAATCAACCGTCCCCAAAACGAAGAGTCGAGATGGGAGCGAAGGTCATTGTACATGCAGGTTTGTTTGCAGAAGGTCATTTTGGCAGAGATCTATTGGCGCTACAGCGCCTGTTGGCTGATCTTCTTGACACTGACCCGAGCTTCCAGAATCTTGACGAAAGATCCTGTCTGGATAAGCTCCTTCGCAGCTTGGGGTTGGGTTCTTCTGGCCTTCTTGATCATCGTTTGGACCCAAGTGCCATGCGCCACGCAAACGTGGTCTTTGGACTTTGTGTGCATCCTTTGGTATCTGGCGACAGGATTTTACCTGTCCTCATGGGTGATCCCGGTGGAACAGCTTTTGCTGATGGAGTTCGTGCTCTTCGTGTTGGTGGCCCTTCCTCTGTGCACTTTCGCCAAGCACTACAGTGTGGTCTTCCTGTGTCAGGGAGGACTCATGGCATTCGTGGTCGCCTGTGCTGTGCTGGAGGACCTCCCAAGAAAGCGGTTCCCTGGAGAAATACGGACTTTTGCAAAATAACACCTACTTGGAAGGGATCTATGCAGAGAGTTAGTAGTTTCGTTTTGTTGTGTTTTGTTTGCTTGTCTAAATTCCAGATCACTCAACAGACTTCAAGGATTTCAAGCCAACATTCAGTGGTGGTATTAAACATCGTCTTCCTTGGGGTCACTTTGCTGGTTCATTTCCTCTCGAACTCCTTCCTGGAGCAGACCGTTGAACTCCGCGTCCGAGAGGCAGACAGCCAAACCCAAAGGAATGCGACCTCCTCCTTGCTGGAGCTTACTTGCGATCCTAGAAGAATCCATGACCAGCAGTCACAAAGGGGCGCTATCCATGGAGGTCAGGGGTGCCCAGCTACTCCACTCACTTAAGGACGTTTCACACCACCCCTTTGTGACTCCTGGGAGAGATTTCTTTGCTTTTTCTTTATGTGTTGGGGGTCGGTCTGGCAATCATACAGGCCCTTTTCAGGAATCGAGTGAAGGTTGGAATGGGATTTTGCAGCCTTTGCCTTTCTGGATATACATACACTATGACGAACACATCACATGGAAGTGGATGGCATGGCCCCTTGGAAGACTACTTTCCTTTACAAACAGACGGTTTTCCACTTCCATGTGATGTGTTCGTCGGAGTGTATATAAGCTCATTCAAGGGCAAAAACGTCCAAGAAATCCCGGTCCCGGTCGCTCTTCAGCTGAAAACATCTTCACCCAAATAGCAGCAGCAACTCAAAGGATGCGGTGGTGCATTTGGATTCGGAGCTCCGAGTCACGTCCGATGCCCGCGATGCCTTGGCCGCGATGCTCTTCCGCAGCCCTGAGACCTTGAGAGGCGCACGGACTTTTGTTCCCTTAGGGATCCAAGTACCTTCTCAGGTACGGTGATTGGAGACACTCTTATGTGGGTTTTGAGGGTCCAGTCATACTTTCTGAGGTTCGGTACTTGGATTTCTAGGGGTCGTCGTGTTCTTGGCGTGGGACCGAGGTTTCGGCTCCGTTGGCTGCTTTGGCGTGCCAATCCGTGTGATCTTAAACTCATTTGACCTTTAAACGACCATCATTTATGCACTATGTATAGGTCTGGCAGATCAGTAAGGTCACCATGGACAAGACATGACCAGCCATACACGGCTCTTGAAGTTATATATATTTTGTTCATTGGAGAGAGCCTGTCCCAAAAGTCAAAGTTAAAAAAACAAGTCAAATCATAAAGTTTCAGAAAGTCAGAAAAGTCCATTTGCCCAGATCTGATTTTTTTACTTTTGTGTTTGACTTTTTTTACGACTTATTGACTTTGTTTTGACTTTTTCGAGTGGTTGACAGTTTCTACCTTGTATTTGACATTTTTGTTTTGACGTGTTCGAGTTGTTTTATAATGATGTTGATGTTTTTTGATTTGTTGTTTCGACTCTTTTTTGATTTCTTTTGGATGTGTGTGTTTTTTCCCGACATGTTTTCGATATTCTTTGACGTTTTCAAGCACTTGTCGATTTTTTTCACTTTCAATTTGACCTTTTTGGACTTTGACTTTTTCATTTACATGTTGTTTTAAATCAAGGATTCTGGCCTTACCATATGAAAGATTTATATAATCTTGAAGGACATCTTCAGCTATTGCCAGCTGTCTTTAGTCAAACAGACTATACACGTTTCTTGCCTGGTTTAGAGCTCAGATTTGGATAAAAAGTTGTCCTTTTTAATGGATAGTTGGATAGCCTAGTCCGCGACTATATGCGGCACCGGATGCGTAAGTATGCAATTGTTGGGAAGTCAACCCCTAGCCTTTGACCCCAGCACTACCAAGTTCAGCACGTTGAGAGGAACCAAGTTCACAGAGCTCATTGCCACGGACTGCCAATCTCGCGCGGAAGAGATGTTGAAGGAAGCTCAGGCTCCAGCCCATGCCTTTCACACGCAGCTGGTGGATGGCTGTTCCAGTCGCTTCAGAACAGAGGCACAGAACGCCGGACATGTTCGGAGCAGGTTTTGAAACTAATTATCAAGGTCACAGTGTTTAAGGCTGCAAGCAAAAGCAGTGTGCGGACAAAAACATGTGTGACAATGAAAGACTGAAGCACTATTAAAAAAAGAACAAATATATATATATATATATATATTATAGTAATATTTGTGTATTACATGAATTCTGCTAAACTGTGATCAACCGGGTTTCATGAGGTGCCCACTGGTTCAAATGATTTTGGACACGACCACATGTTTCAGAGATGACAAGTTGTGTTTACCGTGCTTCATGGGCGTTGACCATGTTTCTTCTTGAGGTTTTTGAAGAACAAATACCTACACTTCCGCACTGCTACCCTTGACATGGCTTTGTCAAAGAGTCCGTTCTTCCGACCTGTCTTTCTTGTTTTCTTTGACCAGTCGATGGAGGTCTTTCAAGTGAAGTACACCAAGATGAACGGACAGCGATGTCACCTTACCGACGTGAAACCCTTGTCTCGCCCGTCGCCTGATGCCCTCGCTGCCGATGCCCTCTCAGTGGATCCAGACGTTCACAGTGTCCCGATGATTCAGTTGGGTTGTTCCCGGTAGCGAACACCACTGAGAATCACATCGAAACATACGAGAGGCCAATATCAAGTGAGAAGGCCGGTTTCGGCCTGGAGGTGAAGGTTGGAGCGTCTCCCATTTCTTATTTGCATCAAAAAAGGGCCCATGACACATGGACATACAACGTGCCAACCACACAGACACCGTGCCAACCTGGATTTGAGGGGGTTCTCTTCCTCTTCGTGAACCGAAGCATGGTCAGTCCCCGTGGATCACGTTCGTTCGCTCCGCAGGGGTGCTCCGCATGGGGGTTTCAGAGCGGGTCAGGTCGCTCCGCGACGACCAGTGGCTATCTCTGAGAGGGTCAAAGAAGTCTCAGTGTGTTCATGGGCAATTTTTGGACCCTCTGAGAAATGGTTTAGTTATGTCTTAGTGTTCGATTAGTGGCTAAGCAGGTAGGCCATCTTTAGTCCATTTGTTCAAGAATATCCAGATTAGATCGGAGTCTTTGTTTGTCCGAACATATTGGGGTTGGATCCAGAATAATAGTCGTGATCTAGAATTGAAAAACTCAGGTCCCAAAGTGCAAAAAAGACTGAGGACAAACATAATAACTGCAGATTCTTTTGCCCTATGGATCCACATACCTTCTCAGAAGGCAACTGGACCTTCCAAGCATACATAAGTAGTATCCAATCACCTTCTCAGAAGGTACATAGGGTTGCATACTCACAGAAGCTCTCAGGACGGAAAAGAGAACCACTGAAAGCAAAATGACAGCAGAATGAAAGCAAATAAAGCAGAATGAGCAAAGTGAGAAAGACATGAACTCTAGAGGAAACTACCAATATGATCCCGCGGAAAAGCTTCCAAAACAAAAATCCCGGATCCGTTGGCTCCTGTTGGATCTATTTTTCGACTGCACAAAAATCTTTGTACAGTTCAACCTGGTTTGAAAAATAGAGTGGTTATGCACCCCTACAAGTACTTGATCGAGACAACACTTAGAGATGAACGCAACGTGAAGTGGATGAACCCTCTTGCTTGCAATTTGCAAGCACGGTTGCATCATGTTGAATCTATTTTTCGACCCCCTTGAAATGGTGTGTTTTTCTGGGTGTCCAAATTATACTGATTTGCATGAATTTTGTACAACAAATATACAACGTGCTGAACCGAGACAACACTCAGAGATGAACTCAACATCAAGCGGATGAACAAGATAAAAGGCATCATCACTCTATTTGTGGACCCTCTGGCAGGTTGTTTCTTTATGTCGTAGTTGCAAATAGCAAGCATTGTTGGATCTATTGTTCGATCCCCTTGAAATTGTACGTTTTCACGGGGGTCGAAAAAAAAAAAAAAAACAGAATGGCTATGTACAAGAAACTATATTAAATAGTGCTCGATCAAGACAACACTTAGAGATCAACGCAGCATGAAATGGATGAACAAGAAAAACCACATACTTTGGACCCTCTCATAAATTGTTTAGAGATATGTTTTGCTTGCAATTTCCAAGCATTGTTGGATCAATTTTTCGACCCCCCTGAAATTGTACCTTTTCCAGGGTGTCCTAAATATACTAATTTGCATGCATGTTTTGCAACCAGCTGACGCATATGTCGCGTATGATGCAATCATGAAAAAAGATAAAGTATATAAACTGTTGAAAGGGGTCGTTTGTTTTCAGACTTACATGATATTTCATAACTATATGTGTTTATTCCAGGCTTTCCGCTCCTCTCCCAAACACAGCTCATGATGCAGAATATGCATGTCCGTCTCCAAACGAAAACTCCCCTCGGCAAGACTATATAGCGATGAACGCACAACTGTAATGCCTCTAGTTGTTGGACAGGCTAGTAGCGGCTAGAATGGTCGTTACCACCTCTTCGCAATAGAAACAAACGTGCTTTAATTGGTTGATTGACTGTAGTCTTTTTTGGTTCCGCACTGTTTGATCATTTTGTCGCACAAGCCAAGCGAAAAGGTTATGAAATGGGCAGCTTGGATTTGGCGTCTCGAAGCGACGAAAGTTCAGTGCAGATGCCGCAGCAACTTCTTCGTCCCCCGCCCAGGAGGCTGACAAGGGTCATGTTGGAAACAGGAGGGGGGTAGCCGAGTACATCCCAATGGAGTCATCGAACACTATGTGAACATTCAAGCAAAGTTTGCGTTCTTGGATATCAACGTGGATCGGAGGGTGATCACTGCAGCCTCTGCTCCATGCTCTGACCTGGTGGGCCAAAAGCTGGAGGATGTTTTTCCCAATGAATTCACCTGGCAGATCGTCCACAATGTGTGCGAGGAAGCCAGAAGTTTCATGCTCACATCACCTGGCGATCAAGTGTTGCCCGATCAGGTGGCGGCATTCAATGACATGCCCATGACGCATTCAAGTGGGCGCATCGTTGGGATTTCAGGATTGATGCGCGTCTTGCTCACTGAGGCTGGTCAATTTCATGTGATATTGAGTTTTGTCTCGCCGAAGGCGAACTTAGTGGCGCTCTAAAGTGAGTTATCGCCCTTATCGCTTTTGATTTCAAGGTCAAGTGCTGGAATCCAAGATTGTGTCAAAAGGCTGAGCGAGGAGCTGTGCAAGTTGATTGGAGCAGCACTTGTGCGATGAGCGACTGCACAACTCTATGGTAGATCATGTTCATCCTAGATTATTGTTTTCATTTGATCCTCATTCATTCTCGTCACCATCATGTGTCATCACCATAGTTCATCCTTATCTCATGATCATGTGTTTCAGGCGCTTGTCAATCGTCGCATGGATTGGTCGATCTAGGTCCGCTCTCTGTCTCAGAGTGAATCCATCTCGTCGTTTGCCGTCGAGGTGAATCCATTGACGCGTCGAGGCGCTTCGAATCCTGAGAAGCACGAAACGCCATACACTCCCTGGAACGTCACATGGTTACGTGGATGGCCTGGCCCCGAGTTCGGAAGACCATGAAATCCACTTCCCATCAGGTGGTGCCATGCACTTCCACCATGGGGCCGTTCCAGGGAGAGTACTTGGACCCGACTGACCCAGTAGCTTTGAAAATGGGACGTCTGAGCCCCTAAAGAAAACAGGTACGACTGTACCCATTGAACCCGAGGTACGAGTTCCGGGGTCGCCTCGTTCGGTCCTATTGATCGTCCACACATGCTCCTTCGAACCCGAAGTAGGTTCGACCAAGGTGAAGGAACGGGGTGATGGGTTGCAACCGGAGGAACGAGCTGGTCGGGTTTAAGGTCCAGAGTTTTTGGACGTGGGGGACATGTTCCACTTCCCAACCCATGGATGGAGCTTCGATCGGGCCCCGAAGGCTTCGTGGTGTGTTGGCTTCGTCGAACGGTTTTGGGCAAACATTCCCAATGGATCCACAGTACTAAGGAACCAGGGGCCCTTCGTTCGGTCGGACTGGTTTTAGTTGAAAGGAACCACTGGGACTCCCAGCGAGCTCTCGTGGGTTACCTGGATGAGCTGGGAAAGCTAATATTATGTACCACCTGTCTCTTAATTTCATATACTGCTTCCTCTACCACTTGTCGCTTAGTAAATTCAGGTCTGCTTGTATTGAAGACCGAACTGAACTATTTGCATGTCTATATATAGTTCATAGTATAGCCGTGCGTTGGTAAAGGATTATCACCATTTTTGGGAAACGCCTTTCTCCCCAAGCATTACCAATGGGATATACCCAAAGCATGTCACAAAAAAATACAAAGCGCCTGCTGCTCTCCCTTCCCTAAGGTATTGGAACCGGGCGGCCAGCTGCTCTCCTGGCACCTACATGGATGCCGAGCAATGGCTTCTGCGGACGGGCCGCGCACAGGGCGATTGGAAGCTCGGACTGGACGACAGATTGTCGTATCGAAGAGCCAAGCCGCACGATGGACGACGGATCCAGAACCCAGTCTTCTTTGACCTTAATATACCTAGATCTTCAAATGAGCAAATGAAGACCTAGGTATCTACAGATCGGCTGGAAGATCTTTTAGCCCAGATGCTCCATGTGCTTCACAACACCGTGTTCCACTTCTGGCGAGGTTGACCGGAAGGTTCACCGTCATGGCACGATGGCCCGACACCGCGGTGACCGACCCTCGACCATCGAACGGGTTTTGGGCACGGTCCGGTGACCGAGAGGTGCCGAAAGGTTCTCCGCAACAGAGCGAAGACCTCACTCCGAAACTGACATCCATGTATTTCAAAGTGGAGTAAACATATCCCTACACCTCCAAGTACTCTCCTTCTCAGAAGGTATTTGGACCTGCCAAACCCACCCCAGTCCCACCTTCTCAGAAAGTACGACTGGAGGCCTAGGGATATGTGAACACCAGCTGTTTTCCCTATGAACATGGTGATCTGATCCCAGGGATCATGCCATACAGATTCCATTATTATTTCAGAAAGTGGAACCCCGCGACAAACTCTGGGTGGGCATGGTTATGTGAGCAAAGTGCTAAAGGTCGGCACTCACGGTTCGTCAAAAATGAGCAATTTGCATTTTCCTTGAAAAAACGATACCAATGCCAAAAACGATACCTAGGCTTAAATTGTGACTTATCCTAGCTGCCTCCAGAGTCTTACTTTTGGTAGATAGTTCAACCAAAGGCTGCATGGGTTCACTTGTTCCAGCTGCCACGAGAGTCCATTGTTCGGCAGAAAGTTCAACCAGAGTCTGTAGAGAGTGGCATGGCTTATTGGAATCTATTTGCAGCCGTTTGTGCTTGAAAGGCACTGTGTTGTTACTGCTGTGGGGAATGTGGAGGGTAGAAAAACGCATTCGCTATGGAGCCAAGAATTATGGCAGTGCAAATTTTCAAGTGGATGATATTCTGGATGGCTTAAAGATGCTGTATAGAAAAGAACATGAAAAGAAGGAGCTCTGCGCAAAAAAAAAAACTTTAGCTCAGACCACCTGTGAGAACGAGTCGGAGATGCGGTGTCGGTCTTCCTCCTTTCGTGTCGGCACGTCCAAGTGAGAGAAATCGACGTCTTGAAGAGCCAAGAAGTGTTTAGACCTGAAGTGTTTAGACCCACCAATGAAAGAAAGGGTTCCCTGCTCCAAATCCCTGGTAATCCCGCTTTCTTTCGGGTTCTTCAGAGGGAATTCGAGTGCGTCCAGCGGACTGAAGAGACCGTTTGGTCGGCGTGCGTTCGAAGAAGCGCGCGGCGGTCGTGGTTCGCAGGCCGGGCGATCGAAAAGGGATGTTCAGGCATCATGGATGGAGCTTCGATCGGGCCCCGAAGGCTTCGTGGTGTGTTGGCTTCGTCGAACGGTTTTGGGCAAACATTCCCAATGGATCCCAGTGGATCCACAGTACTAAGGAACCAGGGGCCCTTCGTTCGGTCGGACTGGTTTTAGTTGAAAGGAACCACGACGGGACTCCCAGCGACATCGTGGGTTGCCTGGATGGGATTGGTCAACTCACCGAGCAAGCAGGAATGTTCCCTGGTGGTTCCACAGCCCGCGCTCGGGTCAGGGCCGCCACAGCGACGCCCCGTGCCCAGGCAAAACGACATGTTTTCCGCCGCTGGTTTTCGATGACCACCTCAACGTCTACCTCCGCTGGGTTTCGGGACGTCTGAGGGCCCTGCAGATGAACATGACGTAACACAGACTTTATCTTTGTAGTGTGGCGTATGACTGGAATTCTGTTTACATCTATTTCAAATACTTGGTGAAATAGCGATGTGCTTAGCAAAGAGGCTATACTTCTTTGCTTCCTGTTTGCTTCTAATGAGCTATTGAACCTTAGTACCAAAACAGCTCATGGCTGGGCAGTGCCGTTGCTGCCGAAACGCGGACCATTGACACCGCCCAAGATCCGCCGCAAAAAGGACCGCGTGTCGCGTGGCCGAGTGGTTGCAGTGGCTGCAGTGCAGGATGTTTGGGGTCGGGTGGACATCGTCACGCATGCAAAAGCATCGGATCCATGGGAGTGGAACAGGCGACTAGGTATTACCTGGACTGACCCAGTACCCAGTACCTTGGAAAATCTGAACATGGGCACATGGTCCCATAAAGAAAACACGACAAGTCCCCCGTCCGAGCTACGAGGTCCGGGTCGACTCCACCGGTCTTTGCCACCCGAAAGCCAGCAGCTGCTGCGGTCTGATGGAGGTGGTTTCCGACGTTGAACCAGGTGTTGGCCAATATGTGGAAAAGCAGGTTCTCATCCAAGAACCGACCAAATGTCAGGTTCGCTCGGGTTCGCTAGGTATTTACAAGACTCTGTGTACCAATGGCACACTTTTTGAGATCTTTTTAAAGGTTGGTTGGGGGGGCTGCCTGCCTAATTACTGCTCATGTTGCAAGATATATTGGACACTCCTGGAATCAATTCCTACATCTAAGATCAAATGGATCGTAGGACCCATTTCGGTGGATCCCCTTCTTCCTTCCAAATCCTTTATGCAGCGCCGGTCACGCAGCCAGTGGCGAAGAGCTTCTCCATCCCCAGCGGTGAAGCTCTTCGTTCGGTTTCGAGGCGCGTGAACGACACGGCGGTGATCGTCCGGCGGCAAGCGACGAAGATCTTGAGCGCCTTTGTGCCGTGGCGAAGAGAAGATATGGAGGGAGGATGGAGAATGGCAAGCTCCATCATGGCAGCCTCTGTGCCGTTTCAGTGCGGAGTTAGGGAGATTTCAGATGGGTTTGGAGGCCATCGCTGCTAGGTTGGAGGCCATCGCTAGGGAGATTTCAGATGGGTTTGGAGGGTTTGGAGTTGTGACCCAGCGAACGACCTTCGTGCCAATGTGTTGGATGCGTCGGGGCTTTTTGACACGAGCAGCATTGGATTCCTTGGCATTTTCAGAATTGGGACGTTCAATCACGTTGTGGGAGTCCATAGCTTGACCCTCTCAAAAGGTTGATAGTCCATGTTTGCAGTGTATACTAGTCAGATCTAGTCAGTGTAGTTAATTCCCTCCTTTTGAAGGTACAACAGCGGTTCAAGTGCCTTTTAGGATGATTCATCTTGACTTCGCAATACCTTTTTGGTCCGGAAAACACCTACAGCAGCAGACTACCGTACAGAGAACCGGTCCCACATCCACCCGAAGCGCGGTGTGGACGTGGACGTGTTTTGTGGTCACGGTGATCATGCTCTTCCGTTCTGTCATGACTTGACGCTCTGTTCCGGTTCTGCACACCGGCGCACACCGCGGCGTACACCGCCGGCGCGCTCTGTGAGGTGCTCAATCATCCAGACCATCCGGATGTAATACCCGTGACGTTGGATTTGCTTCGTCGTTCCACCGACTCCGACGCGCTGTGCCTTGGCAGCTCTAGGCAGTTATTTTTTCATGAGAAGCCGTGATCTTGTTTGGGGTCAGAATGGATGAAGACACCAGAAGTTTTTGAATGAGAAAGCCACAGCGAAGTGTCTCGTAGTCAGCCCATGTACAATGCAGACTTTGAAGTTGTCGTGACTAGACCATGATTCGACTCACTCCACCCACAACATGAGAGCGTGCCCTCTATTTTCACAGGCTCATGCCATACATCCGTTGATCACTGATCGGACACCTGTTGGGCCAACCACCACGAACCACCTGGTCCAGCGCACTAACCACCGGTGGCTTGACCGGTCGCGCCCGGTCCGCGAGGCGAAACTTGGTGATGGGCACCTTTGAGCTCTTGTGGTTCATGGACGACGAGCCGACTCCGGAGGTGCGACGCCGGGAGGACGCCGAGGTGTCCGCCGAAAACGGCCGGAGCGGAGCGGAGCGGAGCCCATCGGCGTCTCCAGGAAGGAGGCTGAAAGCGTGGGAAGGTCCAAATTCGGGCCGGGAAGTGAAAACATTTGCAGCGATGGCCTCCAACCTATAGGAGCAATGGCCTCCAACCTAGTAGTTTTTGTGGCACAGTACTGGATCAAGATGCACATAGATCGACGCACAGCACTGTGTGGACCACCGTGTGGCGGCGGCTTTCGTCGCTCCGCGTCGCACCGCACGAATCGCTTGGATGCATGGGAAGTCAGGTGGGGGGTCTTCTTCCAGCCTACCAGGCCCAGACACTCCATGTATGCCGCCCCATTGACCCCCAAAACCACCCCAATGGTAACTATACCATCCATATCCATACATGGAGTGTTGGGGAGGGCAACCGCTGAAGTGCCCACTGTTTTCTTGATCTGGAAAGCGACAGCAAGCGCTGCACTGATGGTGTGCAGCCGGACCGGGAGTGACGCAACTGGCGGACAACGACCAAGGAAAGAAAGGAAGAACGACCGGACAAACAAAGGACCGGAGATATCTGGAGATCCTCTTTTGCATTGATACTCCCCACAAACTAACATAGAACCTGAGAATTGACCCGTGGAAGACTTGGGTTCCTCTATACAACCCAGTAGTTTGGGGGTTCCATGTGGGCCGAATAGCAGGGGAGTACCCTGCCGAAGTGTTTAGTGACATCTCCTCTGTAGAAATTCTTCTTCGGCACCCCCTTCACTGGGCGGGTCATTTGGAGACCTGTCGGAAAGTTGGCAGGCGGCCAAGCAACTCTCACGTGTGGTGGATGCCTCCAGGGCCATGGTCCGAGCCCCAGCGACAATGGAGGAGAAGGTGAGCCGGGTCGCTGCCAGGCGGCCCACAAACCATCAAACACCTGGTTTTCCGTAGCAAGCTTTTCATGGTTTTGGTAGGTGAAAACCTTTGGTTTTTCATGGTTTGGTTCGGGCCCCTGGTAGTCTGTGCACGTTTGCACATTCAAACCCTTGATCCATGACCCGCACAGTTGCGGCACTGACTGTGGGCCAGTGGACTGAAGACGGAGGGAGGTTCAGGAACTGGGATCAAACTGTTTTTTGGGTTTAGGGGAATCACTCACAGGAGGTGCTTGCCATACTTGGCTTCAAATGATTCAAATATATTCAAACGACTCTTTACTAACTTTACTAACTATTACATCTAACTACACCTTTCTTGAGGTGCGCAAGTCCATGTCCAAAGCCATGCGTCAGAATGAATTCCCCCGCCTGGGTGCGCGTGCGATTGGGAGTCCTCCTTTTGCCACAACCTTTTCCTGCGATCATTTGATATCATTTGTGGGAAGTTTTTTCGCACTTCCCAAGTTGATTGCTAAATATACCTATAAGTCTGAAGAAGACAATTTGCAGATGAGCGTGACCCCTGTCAAGTACTTGCTTGCGGTCAGTGCTAAAATTAGTACGACTAACTCTTAGAGTTATAGGATCTTAATCCGCCGTTCGCTGTTTAACTTCCTTTCACCGCCATACTTCACGGCGTTCTTCTATAGTAGCGATGCCTTTGTTCCGTTCGTAGCGAACCTTGCTCCGTTCGCAGGCCAGGCCAGGAGCGCCGTTCGTACGCTCTGCCGGTTCGCCGCTCCCGCAGTCCACGTTGGGCGATATCCTCAACGAGCTCCTGCGGCGCTTTCGGAAGACCATCGGCCGCTGGGCATCGCACCGCGTGGGGAACCGTGGCGGAGGATGAACCGTGGAGATGAGGACATGTTGGAGGACGTTGGTTGGTTGGTGTAGACATGTTTGAGTTTTGAACCCCAAACACTCTATGAGACTGCCATATTTGCCGATCAGTTGGGGTGGTTTGGGGTCAATGTAAGCATAAATTCCATACATGGAGTGTACGGGAGCCATAGGCAAATGCTTGGTAGATGGATGTATACATCATCTATACATGCAATCTCTCAGACGACATGCAACAAGTAAGGGGGATGGATATCTATATACCTTATAAGCTTATATTGTGAACGTTCATCGATTCCCTTCTTCACAAAAGAACTTCAAAATGCAGGGTTTGGACTCTTAACGCCTTCAGGAATCTGACGTTCTGTGACCCATGGCAATGTGCCATCAGCACTGGAGCCCTGGCAGGAGGCAACATATCATTCACCCGGAGCCTTACTGTACCTAGGAATTTGAACCTTGATGCCACGTCAATGGGGAACTTTGAGTGTTGAACCCTCGCAAAAAACCGCGGGATTTGTGGGCCGAGAGATTAAGACCTCGTTTTCCAGTTGAACCCTGAGAGTCCAAGACCATGTTTAAAACGGTCTGAATTGGTGATCCGAGTTCAGGAACTTCCTTTACTTGGGTGGTGCCTAAAAAAGTCGAACTGGACTTCTAGGGGAAGCTTCATCCGAAGGGCCAAGGACTTCGTGGGATCTCGCCCCTCAGCACCATCAGCCACCACCCGGTCCGCCACCCACGAGCACGAACGGAGCGACCCGCGTCAGGGAACACAGGCGCAACGTCGCGAGGCTCGCGGAAGAACTCCAAAGGCTACGAGTTCGCCATCCGCCGCTGGACCACCTTGATTCTCAACGAGTTTGTGCAGCTCAGGCGCTTTGCGCACAAGTTTGGTGCGCGAGAGACTGGGGGAGAGGGAGGGAGAGAGAGTTTGTGCCCCAGCCAGGCGCCGTGGGACACCTGGGACGTGGGGGAGACCTACTCTTTGGTGGGTCCTTTCAGCACGGGATTTGTTCCAATTATACTCCCGAAAGCTAACATGGAAGTGGAGAATAGCCCCTTGGAAGACCATTCTCCACTACAAACAGGTGGTGCCATCCACTTCCATGTTAGTTCCGGGGAGAGTAATGATTATACAATGGATTTGCAGTTTTGGGGAATCTTGATTTATGTCAGACTGCTTCACCATGCTTCACCATGCTTCATCATCATGAGCTGCTGACAAGCTTTATGCAAACGAAGGTTTCTTGGATCCTCAAAAGCTTTTGGATGAAGACCTAAGCATGCCTAAGCTTTTCATGCTTTCACTTGTTTGAACTTTACAGCTCTCAGTCAAGCTTCAGTCTTTTTTGCGAGGCATCCAAAAGGTTGAAACCCTGTTCTCCTTTCCGGCAGACCTGGCTGAGCCAGGTCTGGCAAGCCTGCACCGGTGAAGAAGGTGAAGTTGAAGGCAGCTAGCCTGACGGCCGGAGAGGTACAAGAAGTCGGGTTGATGATGGTTGATGTTATTATGGCAATTGAGGAGCAGATGAGCAGGTGAACTAGAGAAACTCATGTCGAAGAGCGAAAACACACTGAGTTCAGTTCAGGCAGCTTCCGACTCCTGAAAGGTCCTTCGGTTCTGACTCCTGCTTGTTTTGTTTGTCTCATCCCAAAGACTTCCTAGGTCAAAAGGCCATGGCACGGAGTTGGAAGATTGTTTATGAGCCTGCCTTTTGTGGCCCACAATCGATGTTACAAACCCAGCTGAGGTGCTTAGACAACAACTCCTTCACCTCAAGAACTTGCAAGGGCTACTCGAGCCAGATTGTTCTCGATCAAACCCACCACCTTGCATGAGTTGAAATCCCAAATCAAACCCACTGGCTGCAGGATGCACCAAGGATCACCAAGGCAAAAAGCTTTGTTAGACACATTGGCTGTGGCTCCAACCCGGGTTGATTTACTTTCCTTGTGACCGATATGTCAGCTTGAGGAACAAGTTGGTCCATTGTAGGAGCATTCCTTCCCCCAAACAACTCATTATTCAACACACAGAAGCAAATCAAGATGAATCGAGCATGTTTATAACCCAATCCACCAAGCTGTGCCTTGTCAACACCCACTCACATTTTCCATGTTTGGTTTCCACACTCTTGGACCCTGTAAAACGAGCATTGGGCTTGGGCTAAGCATAGCAGATCGCGTCACCATCTTGACCATCTAAAGGAGCGGCTGGGCTGGCGTGGACCATCTTGAGCGTGAAAAACCATCCCAAAACACGTTGCGCCCCACTCTCCGCCCCACGGGCTTGTTCGTGCGCCAGTCCGACTCGTTCGCCTTGCGCCGCAGGGCGGTGGGATGAAGCAAGAGCCAGCGCCGGCAGAAAGTCCGGAGGAGACCAACGGGGCGAAGCCGAACAGACGAGCGAGTTCCCCCAAAGACTGGACGCCAGGCTCGGTGATGAAGGGTGACGGCAGGCTCGGTTTGCTCGGTGATAGAGGACGTTTGCAGGGTGGTTTGGTGGAGAAAGCATGGAACGAGGAGGCCAATATCAAATATCATACCCACAACATGCGGCTTGGCTCCGTGGCGCGTGGTGGTTTCTCGGGGCCTTCCGATCCCTTTTGTTGGGGCATGTCCCGGACAGGATCCGTCGCAAGACGAAGGGAAGCTGGATCCTTCATCTATCCTCTTTACCCTCAAGCACACTAACATACCCTAGGCTAGGGATCCAAGTGCCGAACCTCAGAAGGCACTTGGACCCTGAAAACCTACATAAGAGTGTCGAACACATCACCTCCTGACAAGGTACGACTGGAGAGGACGTACTAGTTCTCAAAATGTGGGAATTCTCCACGTCTTAGCTTATGTGTTGTTGGTCACTAGCTTAGGGAGGTATTCTAGATCCTTTGGATTTTAGCAGTTCCTTTTAGCAGTTCCTTTGGGTTATCCAAAAAGTTACCAGAATCCCATGCACAATAAATACTATAATATAATATTTTCTTTGACATTGGATTCCGCCAGTATACAGTCCTTATTTTCCCACCCACCCTCTTGCCACATCTCCTCGATTTGCTTCTTGATGACGTCTTCCAGCGTACAACCGCGCATCGTCCATGCGTGAGTCCGAGTCCGATCCACTGGACGAAGCTTACCGTGGTGCCAGGATCGCTCTCACCCACCGCCGACCAAACGTGTGACCGAAGTGGTACCTCCTGGTACCTGCGACCTTTCTCACATGACGTACCTAATATTAGTAAGTTCCTGAACTTGTGTGAACCCAAGAATCAGAAGTTTCAGTGGTTGTTTCCTCGGTGCCAAAGTTTGATGAGGTTCATAGCACCTTTTTGGACTTGCAGCTGTCACTTTCTGGGTTGCGAAGGTTGAATCAACCAAGTCAGGGATGCAGTAAGTCACCTCATGTCACCACCTATCTCCACAGCTCTCACAGCTCTCCATCTTTGGCTTCATCCCCAGCCGTAGCCGGTCGGAGAGCCTCCCGTTGCCGTTGTCCAGGAGCAGTGGCACATGCGTCGTAGCCTGCTGAGCACCCTGGAAGCCTTCGCCACAGCGCAGCCTAAGGATCTGCCCGGAACACCCAGCGGTAGACCCGGAGAAACGGGTGACATGTGAGGCGTCACTCGTGTGAGGCGGGTAGAAAGGGGTAGAAAGAAGGTGCATGTGCTACAGAATTCCGAGGTCTTATCTTCAGACAAAAGGATATATATATAAGGACCATTCATGTATAACCATCAGGATTGAGTTGGTTTGGGTATATGTGTTTCTCACTGAATTGTTTCTTCCGACATTATATTTATGTTGTTGGAGACTTCTAGATTGGTCTGGTCCATTCTACTTGCTCGGCCGGCGAATCCAGCACTGGAGCCTCGGGATATCTCGGGATTTTTTGTCCACCCGGCATAGGACCCACACCGCCGAAAAAACATCCTCGTCGCGGCCCTCTTCACGATTGAAGAACCACACGGACGTGTCCATGTAGATGACGTGTCCATGGGGATGGGAGGTCAAACTAGTCCATGGAGATGGTCACTGAAGAGACTTCTCTCAACTGCATGGTCAGTGTTTCTTTAGGTGTTTTTTGTTTTTTCATGCTTGGTCCATTTGGTCACCGCTGATCATCGCCTCAGTTCGAGCGCCTCAGTCACTTCGTCCCTCATCGGAAGTCTTCACCGCTGACCGCTGACCGCGCGACCAGGCTGGTGCACCTTCGGCCGTTGACCATCTATTTAGCTCTGGAGGACCGCAGTGGTTCACGGTTTGGGTCACCGCTGCGGCGGGCCGCAGGCATTCACAGATTCACAAGGCTTCACAGATACGACGGAGTGGAACATGTTCGGATGTGTAGATAAAAACATAATAGAGAGTCTACAGAATACAGAGAGTCAGAGGGCCAGCAATTGACTGAGAGGCCATGGGTCTCTCTTTCAGACCAAGGACGCATATGCACGGATCATGCGCCCCAAGTGCCACACTTGGAGTTGATCCTATGTGTGTGGTGGAATGATTCAAAACATGTCAAAACACTTTATTTCATCCCTAAGGATCCAAGTACCCTCTGAGAAGGTGTTTGGGGTGGGTTTGGAGGGTCCAAGTACCTGTTGAGGAGGCACTTGGATCCCTAGGGCATGTTGTTCTATTTTTTCTCCGGCAAGACCTCTATGAACCATCATCAATAGCTGTTACAGTGGCACGACGGCACGACGACCGTCGAGACGACCGTCTGCATCCCACCTTCCTTCGAAGTTGCAGGATACATCGACGCCAGAAGAGCAGTGGGTGGCGATCAAGGCATGGGTTGCGATGGCATGGGGAGAAGGCGATGGGATTTGAGCCCTTGAACAGTATGAGTGCGCCTTTGTGCATTGAAGAAAAGTGCTTGGTCTGAAGAAGCAGTCTTTCTGATTTTATCTAGAGATCAATGGATTAACATTGGGGGAGGAACGTTTCCGAACTCATGATCTGAAATTGGATTGTTGACCTCAATCGAATCAAAGGTGACTTCAACATCCAGTAGCAATGGCCTCCACCCTAATAGCAATGGCCTCCACCCTACTTGAATGCAAGAAAGATGTTTATGCACAGTTCCTTTGATCTAAGCACGTTCAAACATTTACTCCCCAAACAGTTTACTGTTGGGGTTCTAGAAAAAACAGAGCTGGGGTCTATCCTGGCGGGGTTCCCGGTCGATCTGAATCGACATGTTCAACCAGAGGCCATGCCTCCCTCCGTCCACGGTGGCCCGTGCGTGTTGGTGTCCCAGCGACTCCGTCGAAGGGTACGGCCACGCCGGCCAGGTGCACGAGGGCCCTACAGAAGGGAAGAGATTCTTGCTCCGTTCGTAGCGTCCTTGCTCCTATAGTAGCGATGCCCTTTGCTCCGTTCGTAGCTTCTTGTTACTAGTAGCGATGCCAGGAGCCCCGAACGTAGCTTCTTGTTACTAGTAGCGATGCCAGGTGCCCCGAACGTAGCGTCCGATCGCTCCGGGCTCGAGTCGCGATGCCCTTTGTTCCTCGGCTTCGAACATTGCTCCTAGATTCTGAATGTGTTCCGTCCAAGCATGAGATCGTCTGCAGGTTTGCCGCATCCTCTCCTCGGTCCTTCCCTACGTGGCGGAGAGGTGTGGGAGAACTCCGTAATAATCCGCCCCATGAAGGGCTGGAAGATGGCTATTCATAGGCTCTTGGTGTACCTTCACAGCCATGGAAGCTCCAGCAGTTCTCATGGATCCTATATCTTCAGAACCTGGTCGGGTCGCCGCCTCGTCGAAGCCAACGCTTCGCCTCTTCGGGTCGTGCAACGTGTCGGCCGTCCCGTGGCCCAGACACTACACCCGGTCTGGTAGGTGGGTCAGGACCCGAACTAGACAGACTATCCCAGTTGGGTACCCCAGGTGACGGGTCCTTTTTCAGATCACGTTCCACCTCTCTTGGTAGCGGTCTGCCATGTTTGGGGTGACTCAGTGGGGGGCACAGGGGCCATGATCAGTGTGGTGACTCAGTGATCCTTCCATCTCCCGAAGATCGACCTGAGCGAGCGCTGGACCGCTTGGGGGCGCGCTTCACGCGCGCGCTTCAAGAGGCGCTTCGGTGAGAGGAAGTGAAGGTAGACCCCACAGGTGTCCAAAGGGACAGTCACAATCTGGACATTGGACATCCCTAGGGCTCCGGTCGTACCTCCTTAGAAGGTATGACTGGACCCGAACGTGGCACCCACCCCAGTCCCACCTTCTAAGAAGGTCCGACTGGAGCCCTGGAATTTCAGGCGTCCTTTGATATCTTACGTCTCGAATCAGGCGCCCTCAATAGCCCTCCCTCCCATGTCAATCTCTTTTCAAGTGGTTGGTCATGGTTTGTCGGAATTCTCTTCGATCCAATGATGTTTTTTCTGGTGCTGGAAGATGTGCTTTTCTGACGAACCTTGAAGACAATCTCCACGCTGGCATTTGCGTTCAAAGAGCCATTTGGTTCAGCCAGCACCCTACATCTATATGTACAATATAAACAAATTGGAAGATCCGTGTCTGCTGTTGGTTTCGGATTCCTTCATGCGAGATTTGCTCAGTGCCATCTCGTGGCCCTTCCTTCAGAACCACGCCATTCTTTGGGGGGCGGCGCGCAGCGAGGCGTGGGCTCATGGATCATCGTCAGGTCCAAGCGGACCTGCAGGCAGTGGTGCACCACGCGGTGGCAGCGTTGGGTCTGCACGGACGCAGACCTGAGGAGTTCGTCGGAGTCCGTCGGAGTCCGGTCATTGGTTGGGTCTTCAGAGGCCATGTCGAGCCCGAGTCCTCATGGATCGCATCAGAGGCCATGTCGACAGAGACATGGAAAAAGCACATTGCTTTTGACTACTGCGTTGTGAGATCCTCATGGCCCGAGCAGCTGCCTTGACTCTTTCTTGCGTATCAATGGACATCGCCCCTGTAGCTACTTTCATGAGTAAAATTCCGTAACACATGATAAGGCTTCCAATTGTACCTTGACCAACCACACCCTTTTTCGGCCCTATTCCCACGTTACACCCCACACAGTGTGCATCCCTATACTTCAGTGCAGTCTACACCCGTGCGTCGCCGTTCGTCGGCTCGGTCCGGTTGTGGGTTTGTGTCGGAGGCCTTAATCCGAAGCCAGCCCTCCAGTGGCGTGCATGAAGCGGTGCAGGGGACCCCCAAACAACGGGCTCGCTCGCTGTGTTGACAGAGGTTTTTTCGCGATCGCTGTGTTGGGAGGGCCCCGTGGTATCCGAAGCTCTGCTGGGTCTTTGAGAAGGTCGACTTTTAGGGGCCTGAAGTCTCATCCGAAGTCGAACAACGACGTTCGAATTCGTTCTTTGCCCCAGTGAAAGGAAGTTCTCTGAAAGAGATACTTGATTTCGAGGTCTTTGACTCTCACGTGTTTTCCTCCCTTTTCCAGTACTTCAATAGCAACTCTTAGTCAGACACACGATCTTCGGACAGCAGGGTGAAAAAATGGGATGAAGGCACCGGTAGCTGGGTAGAGCGGGGTAGATACTTAGTGACTTCCAGCAGAGGTTGAAGGACCCTTTTTGACTATCCCAGTTGGGTACCCCAGGTCTTCCGGGTCCTATTTACGGTCACTGGCTGCCTCTCTTGGTTAGTGACTTGGGACTTCTTTGTTGCTTGCGTATGGCACCAATACCCCCCCCCCAAAAGACCCACACAAAGAAGAAAGGTAGACTCAAGGCTGGTGCTTTGAGGGTCTTGAATGGTGGAGTAGCATGGTCTTTGCATGTCTTTGCTATCCAGTCACTTTTAGTAAGGAAGGAGTTGGAGTGCAAGTGACTTTCAGCTGCTCTCACTTACTAGTGGCTTCGCCCACTACTCTGAAGGACATCACCAGCAGTCGAGGAAGCCGTGCGCCACAGCGCCACCGTCGGAGATGGAAGCCGTGCGCCGACCGAAGTCGACCAGTCGCCAGAAAAAGCATCATCAGTCGCCAGCAACTCCTGCTGCCTCGAAACAAAAGGGGCTGCAATCCTCTCATTTTTGCCAGCATAGCTAGCTGCAGTGGAAGAGAGCTGCGATGCATCGCCACGGCTGGAAACGCCCAGACTTGGGCAATGGGGATTGCGGATACTGTGCCACAAAGCCAGTGCCGCTGCGGCGTTCAGCAAGTCAAAGTTGTTCCTGCAAGTCAGCAGACATTGAGCTCAGGTGGTTGGCCACATCAGCACTACCGCCGCCGCTGCCTACGCTGATCATGTGACTTCAGAGGTCCCCAGAACCTTGAAGGTTGCAGCTTGCAGCTCCAAGCTACTGCTGAGAATACCGGTACCCCGATCATCCCCGATCCTTGTTTGGCTCAAGATTTGTCCGCTTTGTTTCGGGGGATGCACTCATCAGTGACAGTGGAGTTTAAGGCTAGTTTAAGGGTTCCCATCGGTCCCGAAGAGAGGGTCGTTGCAGGCTTTGGCAGTTGAGAGGCGCCTCGGCGTCTTCGATAGGCACATTGCAAGCTTTGAAACGTGTTGGATCCACGGCTTTGGTATGTAGAAGGTCCATTAGAAGACTGTATTTGAAAATTCAGGAAGGTCCCATTCTCAGTTCCACGGGCATGTTCAAGACCTGAAGATATTGAATATCTTTGAATCATCGATCACTCTTCTCCCAGGCGCTGCTTGTGCCTGGTTGTGAAGTATGTGACTTGGATATTCGCGTCACGCGTCCTACGTTTGTTGGTTCTGGATGCAGGGGAACAATAGATCCATTTGAACAAAACATACTAAACAGCTTCTTGTGACCCGCGCGACGGGGCTCCGTCTGAGGGTCCAATCACTAATAATAAGAAGAAGGAAAGCATGAAAGCCATCAAATTAATTGTCTTTCTATTCTTTTATATGGCTTTCATTATCAATATTGGATCATTAATATTTTCCGTTAACAGGATTCTTCACAAGCTTTTAAAAAGCGACCACCAATAAAATATGAATGATCCACCCATGCATACTTGCGACATCCGCGGCACCACTCCGTCGGAACTGAGGTGACGGGAGACCTCCCGCAGATCGTGACGCACTTGAATGTGGCTGTGCAGGATGCTCAGATCGGACGGAGAAGGATGCTGAAGGAATGACATCTGAAGGAGGTGCAGGATCTGAAGAACCAGGATCCTTCAGCATCCTTCTTTCATCGGAAGTGGATGCTGAAGGATGCTGAAGGATGAGATGCTGTGGATGTGGAAGAGTCCCATCGATGGGTGCTGCACTGCCGAAGCAGGCAGCTGCTGTACTGCTGATGTCGGACTGCTGCCGAATACACTCTGACGAAGACATCACGTGGAAGTGGTGGTCAACCCCCGGTTGGTACAGAGGAAGGTCGTCATCAGGCCATCGCCTTCCACGCAACCATGTGATGTGATGCGTGCACCAGCCTTGCAGGATTGGTATGGATTGGTGGCTGGTGGTGGTTTGCTCTTGGGCTGTTGGGTTGCTTGTTGCTGCTGGCTGATTGTTGCTGGGGGGTGGGTTGGTTGGCGGGAGTGCTGCTGGGTGCTTGGGCATGAGGCTTGAAGCCTTTTTTCAGGCGTAGTCTTCACTTCGATGGAACTGGAACTTTTGTACTCTTTGCGTGGGACATGTGTGCCCACACTCAGCAAGGCTGTAGGGGATACATCACCACATCCTACTGTCATACAAACCAGCTACAGGAGAATGCAGCAGACCCGACGATGTCCTGTGTATTTGTCTTTCTCGTTTTGCTTCTTGGCTTCAAAAAGCTAAGTTAAGACTCGTTAAGATCCTGGATGAGAGGAGGACATCCTACACTTTCTGAGATGTAGACAGCATTTTTTGTTGCATTTCAGGTGCAGCATGTCTGTACAGGGCACGAACAGACTGGACCAAAACCCCACCGGAGAATTGGTAATTGGATCCACCAAACTAGCGGTCTTTCTAGCTGGAGGAGAAGTCCATATCATAGACTAGCTGGAGGTACTGAAAGACCGGTCTTTGCAAATCATACAAATCCCAGACACTCCATGGGACTGCCATATATGCCGCCCCATTGACCCCCAAAACCACCCCAATGTAGGTAAATATACCATACATGGAGTGTCTGGGAATATTGTTCTGGAAGTGCCAGGACCTCCAGTACGTGACCCTTTGCTATCCCAGGATGAGGTCACTGACAGGTCTGTACAAGGTCACAGACAGAGACTCCTGGTAGAGGTCACGTGCTGAAGGTCCTGGTGTATAGGTCATATGTGATAGTTGTTGGATGCTGTGCTCCCCGGCAATCGGTTGACCCTGAGGCCATCCCTGAGCAAGCTTTGCAGCATCGCCGAACAAAAGCCAGGGAGTTTGGATCGCATTCAAATCATGTGCGCCCCTCGCACAGCGCGCGCACAGCGCGCTGCGAACTGCTATGGACCCCACCTCAATCACGCGGTTGGCAGTCTGACCGTTTGCGGTTGGCACGGAACTCTATAGTTGTAACATGAAATTGACCCAGTGTCCCAGTGAATTCTATGTCAAGATGCTAGACTTTTGGTCAGGTCAACCCTTCATTTAAAAGCTTCATGTTCTGAACACCTGGGTGCTTGCGGAGAGTGGAGAGCTTCTACCAGGATCCCTCGGAAGGTCAAACACGTCTCAGAATCAAGGTTGACCTCGGTATCGCCACCATAATACTCCAAGCTTGCAATAGCGGTGTTCAATCAACAATAACGGTTCCCGTTGACATCGCATGATGCATATATGTATATCCTGGCTCTTCCCACTGTGTCAGAGGTTGGCCTTTTCATCTAAAACACCAGACAAAAGGTATACATGTTGCATAGTTGGAAGATCCAGGATATTAGGTTGGAGGCCATCGCTAGCAGGTTGGAGGCCATTGCTATTTGGTTGGAGGCCATCGCTAGCAGGTTAGGTTGGAGGCCATTGCTATAGGTTGGAGGCCATGGCTACCAGGTTGGAGGCCATCGCTATTAGGTTGGAGGCCATCGCTAGTAGGTTGGAGGCCTTCGCTATTAGGTTGGGGGCCATCGCTGGTAGGTTGGAGGCCATCGCTAGTAGGTTGGAGGCCATCGCTAATATGTTGGAGGCCATCGCTATTAGGTTGGAGGCCATCGCTAATATGTTGGAGGCCTTCGCTATTAGGTTGGGGGCCATCGCTGGTAGGTTGGAGGCCATCGCTAGTAGGTTGGAGTCCGGTTGGAGGTTCATTCATGCTCATTCTGTTCGTGCTGTTTGGTCCACCGGGTGTCTTCAATTATATTATAGCTTGCCGGTTCATACCATGCATGTTTGGAGCCTCCGTACCAAGAGGTACATGAGTCGACAAGCTTGGGTGTTATCCTCGATCCTGGAGACCTTGTCGGTGGACGACTACGCCCGGAGCCCCGAGATCGCCCACGGTGCCCACGGTGCCAACGGTCTTCGTCTTTCGACCCGGGTCGAAATGGGCGTTGCAAGAAGCATCAAGAAACCAAATGCCGCGGTTTTGTCAAGTGTGAGAAGGAAGAGGAAGACCTGGTGAAGGGAACACCGGAAAATGGATGCTGATTGCGAGGCCTTGAGGCATCTTGAGGCCGTGTGCGTGTGGTTTGGTTTGGGGCCTTGCAGCATAGCATGGCTTCGTCTTTGTGGAGGTCTTTCAATGTTGATCCTTTGATATTCAGTTAGTCTGGTGTGCCCTCGGCCGTGGCCTGTTCTCGCAGGCTTTGACTCTGGCTTTAGAGTAGATGGCACAAACCCCTAAAAGTATATCTTTTAGAGGGGGGGGTCTATATAAACCACATTTGGGGATTGTGCATTTTACTCTCCATTTACTGTAACAAACACGTGTTTTGGAAAACCCCATGACCGGCTGAGAGGCATTTTTGCGAAAGATCTCTGTAGAAAAAACAACATGCATGGTTGCCCGAGGCTGCAGCTCCATGGGGTATCTCCAAGCAGACTGCGCAAACACATGCGTAGTTATTTCATCATTTGGTCAGTGCTCCCCTTCTTCCCCATCGCGATAGATGTCATGTTTTTCGGTTTCCATTCATGTGGCATGGCTGTGTGCAAAAAGGACAAAATAACCTAGCCCCACCAAAATTATGTCACCTCCGAGTACCTTGGTAGTCTTTTCAATTCTGTTCATCTTCTTCGGAGGACTCACCGCCGATTCGACATGTGCATCGACCACCCTGCAGACCTGGTCGTTGCAGGTTGACAGCGGACTCTCCAAGGAGCCCTTCGGTGGCAGGAACGGACCTCCACCCCCGAGATGTGTCCAACAGTTGCACCAACGACCAGACAGATGCTGACCCCACCCAAAACAGAACACAACCGTCTAGAGACTTTTGGTGAGACATGATGGGACGTCAAGTTCTATGAATGAACTGGGTGTCCGGACAGGTGTGCACGATTGCTTCTGGCGATGTTGATACAAAAAGGTATCAGAAAGTGAAGGACCCGGTTCTTGGGCCCTCTTCGCTCGAAGAAAGAGCGCAGAAAGCGCTTGCGGCGCTTGGTTGGGCGCTGGGCTGATCCCGGATCACGGGGATCCGGGCTGGCCCCACGGATCCTGGAGGTCTGGCGTCGGATATCGGGGATGTTCCCTCTGTCAGTGATATCTCCCTTCGGAATGGCTGTGAGTCATATGGCACCCAGAGCCCTTTTCACACACTCATCCGCCAACGGTCGAGTTCACCGCCGGTCGTTGATTTTTTGAATTCCATTCTCGGTCAACCGGTGGGTCGTCGCGGCGCTCGTCAACCTTTCCGGCCTTTTCGCCAGCCAATTCCCACCCCAAACAATGCGGGCTGGATTTGACCCAGTCGATGGCCCAGTATGAGGACGTCCCACCACCCTACTATTAAGAACGGAGTGGGTCGTGGTTGTGGCAATGAATACCAAGGGGATGGAGTGCAATTGGTCTCAAAAACGGTATAGGTGAATTGTTTGTTTGTTGCTGAGGAAATTAATGCAAACAAAACTGGTCAGCAATGGGCTATGGATGCAACTATATATTTCATGCACCAGATGCTCCATGTACTACTATAATTACTACAGTACCTACCCCTTTTTAACCATACCATGCAAGCAAATCTTCTTCCGAAACGTGGAGTGTTAGGGCCAGGGTACTAGGATGGACGAAGATTTGACTAGTCTCAGCGCATAGAATATGAGGTGTCCGAGCTGGTCATTCAGACGTTTTCTTTATTGCAGATGTCCAGTGATGGTTGAGAACAAGAAGAGGATGTTCAGTTTCTATGTTAGCTTGTGTGTGTAAAGGTTTGTGCACTTTATACCTACATGTTCCTTCATATGTCGTTGTTTCGAAGAAGACATAGTTCTTGGTGCAGGCGGAACATATGTAGTGCAACACGTTTTGGATTTTGAATAGACATGGGAAAATGACGAACAATGATGACACTTCCGCCAACAAAGAAAAGAACTCGAAAGGACTAAAAATCCAGCACATACCGGCGCAAATTACTTGAACACTACTTTGTTGCACTACTGAAGGTTTCCTATAAACTTTGTCACGACCTCGGGGTTGATTTGAAGTTTAGCCTTCTACGTGTTAAGTTTCTTTCGTATGTTTGGACATTTACAGTGCCTTTCCACTCCTTGTTCCTCATTTCACAGAAGAGGGTCCCAAATCTTTGTGGTTCCATCCATTCTTTTAACGCACCGAAGCAGCGTCCAAAAAGAAGCGAGGCTTTTCGGATAGCTTTCGAACTGTCATACCGTCCCTGCTTGTTCCGTTTCTGCCGGTTTGTGGTGCATCGCACTGTCTTAGGGGCTGTGGGGGGCCAAGAGGAGCTGTGTTGTCTCGTCGTTTGTTCAACCCATTTTTCGCTCGCTCGCCATCGAGGAGCCATCTAGCAAAGCTCCTCTTTTCTCTTTTTGCCCGTACGATGGACTGGTGGGAACTAGGCAGTATGGTTCTTGGGACTGTGTCCCGTACCTTCAACAAAACAACAGAACCATCGATTGCCGCGTTCTAGTGCAGGACTCCGACCCAGTGGAATGGTGTTTGGACCTGGACAAGAAGTGCCTCAGAAATGGTTAGGTTTGGTCCGGTCCGAATTGAGGTCCGAAAGACTAGCGATTCAGTGAGTACAACTTGGGATCTGATGGAATCCCTCGTGTATGACCCCAAGCTGACCAAGCCAATAGTGCCCAGACACTCCATTGCCATATATGTCTACATTGGGGTGGTTTGGGGGGTCACTGTTGTATATACGGCAGTCCCATGGAGTGTCTGGGGTGGAAATAAGAGAGATTCACTGGGTTCCCAGTATACACCCAGGCCCAAGCGACGCTTGTTGCCCCGGAGTGAGCTGAAGTTTGACTTCGTGGGCAATTCTGTGGCGGGCACCGTGGCCGATTTGCTGCTGAGGCCCGCCGCCAGGGGTGTTTGATGGTGTGTGGTTGGCATGTCGGACATGGGCGGATACAGGTGCTGGATTCCACCATTTGCTTTCAAGAAGCCAGCCAAGCTTTGAAAGTTTTTTTGGGATCACAGGGATGCAACAAGTGGAGAGTTGGCAGGAGTTTGCACTTCCAAAGTGTCCTGGTCTTTGAGAGTCTTTCAAAAGCTCATATACAGCTTCTTGTGAGGTCACCCAAGTAGCCAAAACTTGGACGGTGCTTCCGTAGGCTTGGCCACTTGGCTGGTCCAAAACCACGCAGAACAACAGGGTGATGATTTGCTATAGACGACTTCTGTCTAGGTTTGCTTTCCCGGAACTCACCCTTGCCTTTTGTTTGGTGGACCTGGATTGCAGAGTTTGGGACTCTTCGGCAAAAAAGAATTGACGACTGAGAAAATCCATCTAACTTTTTTGCCATTCGACTGGAGATGCGTTCAATATGCTCAACTTGTTCACTATCTTTCAATCCAAAAAGGGGTCGGATCGGCCTTTAGACTTACTACCCAGACGCGACCCCTCAACCCTATATGGAGGGGTCAGGGGGGAGTCAGGGGTCGAATCAATCCCGTTTTGAGGAACCAAGGGCTGTTTGGAGCATACTACTTACTGTATACCCTATAGAGTCATTGAGGTGCTTTTCAGTGGGTTGATGTAGGTACGGAGTGTGTGTGGGGGGTTAGTTGGAATTCTGAATTCTTCATTCCAGTCGGAAATCCAAAGAATTGGAATTGTACCTGCCTGCATGGATTGGATACAATTGGAACAATTCCACAGTTGGAGTTGGAATCCATCAATGCTGACGAATTCAATCATACAAACATCCAAATTCAGCGACGAAGACTCGGAGGCTCAACGAGTTGGGCGAGCCACAGCTACGGGCAGTGGCTGCCTCGTGCATGGGCTTCTTCTTGAAGGGTCAGCGGACCTACACGAAGGACGGGTCAAACGTCTAAACATAGACGCTGGTTGATTCACATGTCGAACCTGACCTTGTGGGAAGACTGTAAACACCACTTGACCAGTGAAGGGCCTTCTACTTCTACTTCCACAGTCAGTCGGAGTGTACCCAACAAATTTTGGTTGGATGATGATACAATCATGTATCGCTGAACATTTGTAGAATATATAGGGAATATATAGGTTGGATGATTTCCACCTCACATGGAAATATTTGGTTGGATGGAAATCATAGATTTCTATATCGCTGAACATTTGTACATCAGATAGGGTGCCATACACATCCCAAGTGAAAGAGACTTAGAAAGAAGAGTGGCCAAAAGAACACATTGTGCAGCTGGCTACGCAGAAAGTACTCGTTTTATCGGGGGATATATGAACTGGTCGGTCAACACCGAGAGCAAATGGATTTGCGGTCCCAGACTCCAGATGGCGTAGCCACTCGGCTGTGCCATTGAGGTGGTCTGCTTTGTCCACCACGCCTCCAAAATGAGCTGCACTGCACGATGCTGTTTTGAGCGGTACAAAGGTCGCGTTTCAAGGCTGTCTTGAAGGGTCTGGATCAGCACCTCAGGAGAGCTACCCAGTTGAACCGCTGCTACCCAGACACTTACTTCACGCTGCCACGTTCAACAACCGTCACCCCCAAAACCTTCAACTCTCATTTGGCCTCCAGGCCGCAGTGTTTGGTCCATTGCACTCAACTTCGCAGTGTCCGACACTTGATGCAGTCGCCAGTCCCCACCTGGCATCCCAGGACCCCCGCATCAGCGAGCTGCTGTCGGGCGCCTTGAGCAGCGGCGACTTGCTGCTGTGCCGCCGGGCGCTCGAGACGCTCTCCACGCTGCTGGGCTTCTTTCGCAATGAGGCGCGACCCCGTGGGGGTCCATAGACCCGCGGTCCAACGAGTGGAACGACCCGCGCCATGGACCCCGCAGGAAGTTCCCAAACTCCGGGCCGGTAGAGGCATGGGATCGGCACTTGGCACTTGGCGAAAATGGGTGATTTGAACTTCCAGATCTTGTAAGATCTTCTAACCCTAGGGATCCAAGTACCTTCTCAGGAGGTGATTGGAGACACTCTTATGTAGGTTTTCAGGGTCCAAGTGCCTTCTGAGAAGGTACTTGGATGCCTAGGGTAAGTATATATAGGGCTTGATACACTTTCATACGTTTCATACTCCCTCGAGGACCAGAGCATGTCCTGCCAGGCCCCAGTTCGACCATTCTCTGGAAGTACGAACTCACCTCTGTTCGACCATCCTCACGAATGACCTGGACCCTATTATGTGACTTTAATAGTGTTGTTTTGACATGTTTTGAATCCAGGAGGACATGTCACGAATGAATGACCCGTCTGCCTGCAGTTGTCTCAAATGCTAAAACCAGAACTGCTACGATGCAGCTTCACCCCAGAATAGTGGCCAATCTCCATTCGTGGACAGCCGAACATGGCCTCATGATGGTCTTTTTTTGATGGAGTGTATTTCTAGTCGACGACTATAGGCCCTACACCTCCAGTCGCACCTCCTCACAAGGTATGACTGGACCCTCCTGGCACCCACCCCAGTCCCACCTTCTCAGAAGGTACCACTGGAAGTCTAGGGAGGGATGTTCTTGCAGATCCCAACAAGGTGTCCAAATAGGCCATGGGAACGACACACGTCCTGTGCAGCTTTGATCGATCTTTGGCCGTAACCTGGAACGCCCAGTTCGTAACCATGGATGACAAAACAGCACTTGGTAGAGGTTATACACACGAGCCGTTTTTCATGTTATATACATGGTCATGACACAAACATCAACCACAATATTCAGCAATCCTCTCCGAACCAAAACAAGTGCTGTTCGATCTCCAAAGCTCAAATTGATGAATTGCCAGTGTTCAGTCACCTCAAAGTGAACCAAATCCTCCTGTTTGGGGTCAAACCATGCGGGGTCAGCGCTAAGATGCGATCCGCGCTGGACACTGACACACCTGCAAGACGGTGGAAGACGTCGCTCCCAAAAACCGGGGGGCGGATCTGTCCGAAAAAGTATATCCCCAGACACGACCTGTCTGGGACTGGTATATTGACCGAGAAACGGGCGTTCGGGGTGGTGGAAAAAGGGGGGTCAACTGATCGGTATAGGCCGTCCGTCCTGGCAGTCCCATGGAGTGTTTGGGATCAACACATGCCATGAAAACGATCGTTAAAAAGACTAGTATATAGCTTCTTCTTACTATAGTAGTATTTCTCCAGCCTATCAGCGACCTGCAACCTAATAGCTTGTAGCTAATTACTGGCTGGGTGGAGATTTCCATGGTCTAAATGGGCATGGTGAAGCTAGCTTGCCAGGAGAAACAAAACAACCGAGCTGACAGAGCTTCCTACAGGTGGCTATATAGCGGCTCTACCAGCTGGATCCAACTAATCCAACCAAATCCCGCCATCGAAGACGTTCCTGGAACTGCTTGACCCGGCAGTAACAAGAAGCTACTAGTAACAAAGGCTTCTAGTTGGAGGCCATGGCTCTGAGAGTGGAGGCCATCGCTACTAGTAGCATCTATAGTAGCAAGAAGCTAGTAGGTTGGAGGAGCCTCCGATTGCGAGAGGCTGAGAAGGAGTCCAAGGCCAATGCCGCTGACTTCGCCGATTCCCGCGACGGGCAGGTGCGATGCGGGGGATGCGGGGGATGCGGGGGATGGTGGACAGGTCACCACGCCGCGTGGCAGGGTTGGACCAGCGACGCTCAGATCCACTGCTTGGAGCCTACGAATCGGAGTTCCAAGAATCGGATCGTCCGGATCCAAAAGGCATGTGACTTTGGATAGACTTTTGAAGGCTCCTTTTCACGACGGAGGCCTTAGGGGCCCCACTTAAGTGTGTGTTTCTATTTCCCAGACACTCCATGGGACTGCCATAGGACTGCCGCCCCATTGACCCCCAGTCAACCACCCCAATGGGGCGGTAAATATACCAGTCCCATGGAGTGTTTGGGTTTTGTTTCTATCCCATCTTCCTTGTGAAACCTCCACTCCATGAAAGACCGCAGATTCGGGCAGAGACCGGGCACGCCGCGTTTCGCTCCACGACGTTGCGGTGGTTGAAACTCGCTCCGTTCGTAGCGGCCGTGGAGCGCCCCGTACGTAGCGATGCCCCGCCCGTTCCTATAGCGTCCGATCTTACTAGCTATAAGTGAAGGCCAGGAGCACCGCCGTTCGCTTCGCGTCCTTCGAAACCAAAGAACGCTGCCGGATAAACGACGACTTGGACTCTGGGACACCGCACCGACTCACCGGGCTCACCCGCTGCGGCGCAGGCCGTCGCCCGCGCGCGGTCCGGCGCCAACCGGCTCCACGGCCGCCAGGTGCTGGGACACACGGATGGTAAGGCATCCAAGACCAACTCGGCGATCGAGGCGCGAGGGAGGCGGTGGGGAGACTCTTGGCCGCGGCCGTCCTGGGGACACGACTGGACGTAGTGGGTTCATTCCATGACCCATAGACTCCATGTATTGGAGTGGTTTGGGGGGTCAATGTAAGCATATATGGCAGTCCCATGGAGTGTATGGGTGAGTGTTCCTTCTTTGACGTGAAGATATGTTGAGATATAGCCAGACACGACCTGTCTGGGACTGCCATAGGACTGCCGCCCCAAAACGACCCCCTTTCAACCAGGTTGGGCCGTTTCTCGGCAGTCCTGGCAGGCAGTCCCATACACGTCGTGTGTGGGGTATAGATGGTATAGTATATCCCAGACACTCCATGGGACTGCCATATATGCCTACATTGACCCCCAAAACCACCCCAATGGGGCGGTAAATATACCATACATGGAGTGTCTGGGTATATACTTTAATACTTGGTCGGGCCGGGGACATGTTTGACACCCACGGAACCATCAGCTGGATGGTCCATCTCAGCTTCGGATGGATCTGTTTGGCCTGTATATCATCGGCTGGAACCAACACAGACAAAGCAGTCAAAGCGGACAAAGCAGAGTCATGCAGTGAAAGTCGTTTTTTTTTGTGTCTTTTTCATGTGTAATTCGTTAAAACTGATCTCGCGGGTTCGCAGGGAGATCCAAGAAATCACGTCGACGAGCAGTTTGGCTCGTCCCATCCACTTCTGCCCCAGTGGATGATAGTGGTTGAGTTGAGTTGAGAAAGGGGACATGTCTCAACAAGTACACCTTCGTGGCGGTTCACCACAAAATTACTTGGTTTGAACCACCAGAAACCTGTAGCTAAACAAACTATATATCGCGATCTAAAGCATTCTAAAGCAATCGAGCCTTTAATCCTTCCAAGTTGCCACACGTGTTCACTAAACACCTCGAGTTGTTTGTTTTTCTCCATCAATCAAGCATGAAAAGCGCCGTGTTCCATCCATGTTTTGGTCACTACCGTCTTCTTGACTGCGCCGAGGCCGCGCAGCCCTTGGCGGCGTTCTCTGATCAAGTCTTAGCGCATATCACGCTGGCCGGCAGCGTGGGCCCAGCTGCGTTGAAGCCGAAGAAACCTCCGAAGCGCTCACGAAGCGGGGAACACGAGGAGCGGGACGGCTTTACTTTGGCGTTTCTGTGGGACATGTGTTGTGGCGCAGAGTGGTGGAAGTGAGTGTGTGTATGGGTGTGTGTTGGGTATGTTTGGGCGTATGTGGGAGCACCTGGGCAACAACTCTGAATTTAACTGAAGGCATTCGGTAGATCCTTCGTTGACAACGGAAGATTCGACTCCATGTGACTGAAATCGGCCAAGGAAGGGCCCTATACGACTTGGTGTGAATCGTTTTTGAGGCTGGAGAAATGAGTAGCAGGCAAGGGGACATGAGTCTCATTCACTTTGTACATGGTTCAAACAGGTTTTGCGTGTGTATTCCAGCATCAATGCCTTCTAAAGCAATATATAATAAGGCCTAGCGAGTGAAGTCAGATCTAAAGCATCCTTCTGGCACACGATCCTTCTTGTTCTACCAACACATCAGCTTGAAAACAAGGCAGGAGAACCCTCCATTCAAGAGGTGCAAGGCCCCTCAACGTGAAAGGCTCCTCAAACAAAAACCTGTTTCCTGCTGTGCCCTCCGTGCCCAGGAGGACCTGGAAGCCCAACGTGCGGAGAGCGTCCTGCGCGTGCGGGTGGAGGCGCTGGCGGTGGCACGGCACCTGCATCAGCAGGGCTTGGTGAATCCCATGACGGTGCTCCCCAAGGCGTCGCGGAACCCGCACGCCGCCGCGTTCCGGAACGCGCCGTACCCGTGCGCCTGAGCGAGGAAGATGCACCAGCGACCTGGTGAAGTGGTGTTCGATGTTGATGATCGTGTGGCTCGTGGATGGGATCTCGGTCCGAAATGTCCGACATGTCGCTTCCAAAGTTTTCAGAAATTTATTTGACATGTCGGACCTGGTTCTTCAGTACGTGACCGATCTTGGTAACCTGGTTGGTTCGGTCACTTAAGCCTCCTAAGGGTCACGAAAAGGAACCTTCAAAAGGTCACGCACTGAAGAAGCTGGTAGTAGAGAAGCCAGGTTGCAAGCGCATGACCCTATTCCAACAAGGCCTTCAGCTGCACTCCTTGCGGCCGACGGCACCAAATGCCTGGCGGTTTGGCCACGAAACCCGGCGGTTTGGCAGGTCTTTGCGTTGGCCTTCGCCAGCGAATGGCGGCTTTCAGAGCCGGCGACGACGATGCTGAAAGAGATGTTGGAGCTGAGACCGCAGCTGCTCCTGGGCCGAAATCATTTTCTTTAGCTCCATCCAGGTTGGAGTGAATCAGGTAGAGTTCATATATAATCATATACACAGAGGGTGAGTGTGATGTGGTAACGGAGGGTTCAAGCTGGACACAATATGCATTTTCCCCCCTAAAGCCTTGTCTTTTCTTCTGGACTCACGCATGTCCAAGATCCTCAACATCGTAAGACCAGGCCATGATGGACCGATGAATCTTTAAAGATGGACATGATGGACCAGCCCATCACCATGATGGACTTGTCCAAGATCCCCATCTCATTGAATCTTTAAAGACAGGACCGCCAGGACCGCCAACGATCATATTATCACCGTGGGGCTGGTCATGTGGAGTGGGAGTCTAGTGCTTCCAAGGTTGCTTAACCGCCTGGAGGAATCCTTCCGCGAATCCTTCATCGCGCTGCTGTGTGGCTTCCTTCGCCTGGGCGAGGCCCAGGGGGGACATCATCTCCTGCTTCTGGGTTGGAGGCCATTTCTATTAGTGCTAGTAGTTAGGAATAGCCGCATAGCCTGTCTTTAGGTTGGAGGCCATCCCTATTAGGTTGGAGGCCATTGCTTGGAGACGGGACGCGTGGCCGAAGCGGGTGGGGCGGTCTATCGCCGGGGCGACTCCGCACGGCATCGACAATCGGACTGGGCGTCCCGTCTACGCGGAGAAAAGTGTGCGATCGCAACGAAGAGGACATTTCATAGCCCAGACTCCATGGGACTGGCATATTTACCGCATCAGGCCAGGGGTGGTGCCAGGGGGTCTTTCTGGGGCGGCAGTCCTATGGCAGTCCCATGGAGTGTCTGGGGTAGAGAGGATGCCCTCAACGGTGTATATGTCACCTTCCTGATTGACCAGTCTACAGATGGAAGAAGCAGAAAGGCCTCGGCTCGTCGAATGGTGCTTCTCTCCTTTGCTCATAGGTGCTTGAAGGCTTGAAGTGATGTGAGGTGTAGAAGGCTTGAAGTCTTGGTATCTTGGAGAAGGTTTGAAATCGTTTCGAAACTGGAACGCTTGGACCACGCACACTTCACCACTGCCCCCTTTGCACTGGGTTTGGGTCCTCGGTCCTCACAACTCACCACCTTCACCTTTGATGCTTCTCGGCTCCATAAGGGCCGAACTTTTACACGAGGGGTTTTAACTTTTTGGACAAACCGGGGAAGGTTCAAGCTTGCCAAGTCTAGTGGCATTCAGATCATGTCATGCTCCGGTACAAAAGAGCTGCACCATTGCACCTCCAGCCGCACCTCCAGGTGCTCGGCACACAGCAGCTGGCTGGCTTGGGTGAGGTCTATGCCGAACGCTTCCGCAAGCAGAAGCTTCGCTGGGCGGGGTGTGGGATGACATCGGATCAGGAGGCTTCACAGGTTAGCTCGAACCTGCTTGGTTTAAGGGATCCACTTTTGCCTGACCCAGACACTCCATGGATCTTTAAATGCCTGCATTGACCCCCCCCTGGCACCATCCCAACTGATCGGCGCAGTCCCAGACTCGTGTTTGGGTGATGAGAAGTTGATGTTTGGGGCGAAAAAGGGTAGTCCATCTCATTCTGAGAAGCTGGTGGAATTCTGATTGATGAATCATAGCCTTAGCGACGCCTAGCTTTTATTCAAAGAAGTCACGAGTCACTGATCAGACAAACATGTATACAGCATCATACAGCCAAAGAATCCTCCCCCCCAAAGAAAAGTGACTGAGGCCTCAAAGCCACCTCCAGACCTGCTCAACCACCCAGACACTCCAAATGGGACTGGTATATTGACCGAGAAACGGCCAGGGGTGGTTGACTGGGGGGTCAACTGATCGGTATAGGCCGTCCGTCCTGGCAGTCCCAGACAGGTCGCGTCTGGGCCATAACAGCCATCTCCGGGTGGTCCATCTCTTTTTCTCGTGCCGAATGGACGAGTGCCATGGGCGACGGTGCCGGTGCGATACAGGTCGGACTAGTTAGTTCGATCCAATCGATGGTTTTTCGAGAAATGACAAAGACACTGGATGTCCAATGATTGGTCTCAAGATTGGACTCGTTGTTCATCGGTTTTCCATTGGCCAATTCTTGGGCGCTACATGTCAATCTTCTTCGGGTACCTTGAGGCTTGGAATGAAGGGGGAACGAACGGGGGCAATGGATGACATCCAGGACTTGTCCGGCAACAGTATAGGACTTCTTCAAAACCATTGGAGCAGGGAGTATGGAGTCCTGCAAATCCACGATGAGCGAGCTCGCCGCGTGGCCATGATCGATCGATGCAATGAGGGGTCTTGGAACGGAATCGACCAGAAATTCTCCGTTCAGCTCCCTTTACTCTCCACGACTCGACCTCCTCACACAAGCTGACGTGGTCTCGCCTGAGGAAAGCCTTGCGCGACGGCTTTCTGCGGAAGGCCTTGCAGCAACTGCAGAAAGTGCCCACGGGCCAGTGCGAGGAAGATGACGATGATGGGTGGATCGTGACGTGTGAAGACGATGGCCGCAACTGATGGCCGCTGCCCCCGAACCTAGAAGCTGCGGGTATGAAACCGGAAGATTTGTTTCCCGGGTTTGAGACCATGTAGGGATGGTTGGGAGCCTTGATGCAGCAGTCCAAGTGGTTTATAGCATGTTCTGTGAGCTGAAAATATGGATGCTGTGTGCCAGCATGTCCGATCCTCTAAAAGGTTTTGTTTGCCATTCTCGCCTGGCTCACCTTGTTCTCCCACTTTTCTAGAACACCTTTTGTGCGCACATCAATCCCCTACCTGAACCTTCAAAGGGTGTTCAAAGGAGATCCACAAGTGGTGTAGGGTATGCCGTTGGAGACTCTTTGGAAGGTGCTGGTAGTATCATGGATATGATATCACTGATGTTTGTAAAACCGCTCTTTGCCAGAATTGAGAACACTCACTCTCCCCAACTAGTGGCCACTAGCGACGATGTTTGGTGTTCAGGCCCGAAAATTGGGCGTGCAACATCTCAAAACCACCCACAAACCTCCACCCTACACCTCCAAGTACCTTCTCAGAAGGTATTTGGACCCTCCTGGCACCCACCCCAAACACCTCAGAAAGTACTTGGAGGCCTAGGGCCAACTCTTATGAGGAACACCGGCAAGTCCCCCCGTCCCCCGTCCCCGCTTCACCAGGACCGCTTCGCCGAGTTGGCCGCCTTGGGCGTCGGGGCTCCTGGCCGACGTCGAGCGGAGGCGTCTCACAGTGAAAGGCCACAGGCAAGAGCGGTTGGTGGGGCCTATATTGAGCAAAGTTAAGCCATCTGGTGCGCATCTTGGCCCTAGGTTGGGCCAAGTTGGGAGGAATGAATGAAATCCCTAAAAAATCCCAACCTTCTGAGAAGGTCTGTGGATTGGGGAAGGAATGAATCCAACATGAGCAAAGTCATTTGGGGGTCGACCTGGTGGATCGATCACACTCGAGTGACCCGCTTTCAACTGATGACCGCTCTCATGCCGCGCAGGACAATGGGTGTAAAAATCACCGGAAGACGATCCCATGGGACCCTGAAAACCACGTCGGTTGGTAGAGGAAAACCATCGGACCCAGGGGGCCAGGACGTCAGGGTCTATGTTAGTTTTCGGGAGTGTAGGTGTTATGTGATGTTATGCTCATATTGACTCAATATGCAGAATCCCTAAGCTGGCCCAATTGTCTTGCAGATAGTATGTATACGGAGTCATCCTAACTGTAGTCGCAGATCCTTTGTCTTGTGTCATGGAATGTCTCAACACGGAGAAACCATTGCACTGAGCACGAAACATTTGACCTGTAGAGAGCAGAGCATGCACAGCATGCAGCAGATCTGCCAAAAGCTCAGTGCTTACTTACACATTACTGTAAGTTTATGTGGTTGCTTTCTCTACCTACATGCCAGAAAAACAGAGATGTAAATGAACCTTTGTTTTCTGAAGGTCTACCTAGATTTACAGAAAAAGACGAGATGGAAGCAGCATTGAACAAAAAATATACTGCAACCAGTAACCAGTATAACCAGAAACCATGCAGTTGCTATATATTTTAACTATATAGTACAGTTGATTCTGGTTACTGGTACATATGGTACAATAAAATTAGTACTGGTATCGCAACCTGTAACTGGTTATCTATATGTACAACTATATAGTACTGCAGTACTGCATGGCTATATGTACCTGGACCCGACTGACCCAGTACATTCGAAAATGGGACGTCTGAGCCCCTAAAAAACAGCTACGACTGTACCCATTGAACCCGAGGTACGAGTTCCGGGTCGACTGTCAATCAGTGCAACCAGTACTGCCAATCTGTCACCGATCGGCAAAGACCGACCTCGATCCTGCCAGGTCATCGACGACGAGGAAGCTTTAAGGCACACCGCGCGCGCGCGCGCGGAAGGCGTTCCTTCGGATCACTGGGTTTGCGGTGTGACGACGGGCGAGGGAGAGGGAGACACTTGAGTTGGATTGGAAAAGACACCCCGAAAAGGTCCTCAAACTCATTGAAGTTGGGTAACTTTAACTTCAATACACTCCCAGCTTGATGATTTGACCCTCCCAGTCGTCATATGACACGGACCAGTTGGCCGTTTCGAACAAAACAGGGCGGCGTGGGATTGGGGTGTCCAATTTTAGTGGTGTTGCATAGGAAAGGATTCAATCTTACGATGGACAGTTGGTTCCTCGATTGCGAAGCGAAGTCGATCGGCGCTGGTGAGCGATGGACCTGTAATTGAAACCGCATTGGTCCACAAGCATCAGGGTCCCTTTTGTTGATAGTGACTCCCCAAATAGATAGAATGGATTAAAAATGTAATTGAGGTGGGGGGGTGGGGTATGTAACAATTTTCAATTACATTTATTTTTTTTCGCAGCTGCGGTCCGTCCCATATTTTGGTCCGTCCCACACTTCGGTCATGTTTTTCGCAGCCATTTGGTTGGATCATTGGGCCACGGGCGATGGAAGCTTATGTCTGGACCTTAGACATGTATGCAAGTGTATGGACGGTTTTTGTTTTTTATGGGAGGAGCGGATTTATGGGACACGACGATTCAATGCACCTGCAGCTGGGGCTCAATGGAAAATATATGTCTATGCTCTTTTATAGGAAAATATACCTTTACCATCCTTCACCATCCTTCACCTACTATTTATCATCATTGAGTACTCATATTCTTTATCATCCTTTATCTACTATTCATACTATTTATCATCATCCTTTACCTACTATTTGACACCAGACAGAACAGAAAGCATCACATTATCTCACATCATGTCATATCACTTCAGGTCACATCAGCCTTTCAGCAACATGCAATATCATGCAACCACATTACAATCACTCAGACATATTCACCAAAGCACCAGCCCCAAAGATGTGTCATATATGTTTGCCATTTTGCAAAACGTGGTATCCCTCACTTTGGTCTGTCCCCTCACTATCCCTCACTTTGGTCCGTCCCCTCACTATCCGTCCCTCGTTTTGCCCATGTCGTGCCTGCGGTGTGGGCGGTGTTGCAGGGCAAGGGACTTCTGGTGCCGCCACGTTGGGGAGCACTGCTTCCATGACGGGTGCCTCGCGACGGTCCTTCGCTCCTCAACATACTTCTGTCCTTATTTGTTTTGTTTCTTACATGTGGGTGCTGTGTGATATTGTATGGCTGAGTTTTGGTGTCATTGCATATGGACCCACAAGAGGATTAGAGGATTCCCACTTGCTTCATGTTGGCTCTTGATGGTTCATGATGGTTCTTGTGCTAAGGAGCAGGCAGCCAGCTGTGGGACCATATCAGGGAGCAGCATGATGAAGATGTTCTGGCATCATGGAATGGGTCCCTTCGTCTGAGATGGTCTCAGACTGCCACCTGCAGAGTGATGATGATGACATTAAATGATTGGTAATTTCAAAAATACAAACAATTACAAGCAAATTCAACGCCATAGTGAAAGAACAAACAATATCAAAAATATTAATACACATGCAAATGGGGTTTCTTTGAAGTTTTTTTATTGTATTCACATGATTTCACAGGTATTCATGGTAGTTTGGTCAATCTTGGTTATTTTATGGTTTGTCTAGAACGGTCTTAAAATTTTTATGAATGATTGAAACCTAATTTGCTGTTGCTTCTTGACGTCGTGACACCTTGCCAGGTGTCCAGTTTGCGCCCTGTCGTCTCCGGAGGCGGCCGGCCAGTCTTGCAGAATCTGGCCGAGGAAGGTGCTGGTCGTTGCATTTGGGTTCAACAGGCAGTATTGCCGGGAGAAGGTGACTTGCCCAGCATTGGAAAACCTGTCATGGTTGTCGATGTAATGTGATGCCATCAGACTAAGAACATCAGAGACCCCCAAGAAATCCCAAGAATCTGCCATCTGGCGACAATCACCTTTGAACGTTCCGTGTGTGCCAGTTCCTTGACCCGTCCTACCTGCCGGATACTATGGGCGCGCGGTGCCTTCGGTCAGTCATCACCCACAATTTGAACCTTTGTTACTATTATTTACTATCGAGTTGATGTGATTTGATTTTTCATGTTTGTTTTATTTTGTAGCATTTCGTAGCTGCTGTATGATGTTGTATGCAGTGGCCTTCCATTTTTCTTGCATTGTTTCATATTGTTTCATTTTGTTGTGGAAGTTGTAGGAGTGCTTCACATGGTCCTTGCTCCAGACTGCTTTCCCCTTCTATGCTCTGAGGATGACGTTGCTCCCGAACCCCGGCACGAGGGGAAGATACGGGCCTGGCTTACGCAGGAGCATGTGTGGGGTCATTCCATGGCCCAGCCGGCCCTGCTCATGATCCTGCTCCAGCCAGCAGCCTGCGTGATGCCCCTTGGAAAGTTTGGCAGCCCGTTCAGTTTTTTATTTTTTGTCGCGTAGCCCTTCCAGGCCATTCCACATGGCAAGAGGTTTCCGCTCGAGCGCCCACCTATTTCATCACAATTTCGGAGGGGCAGACGCTGAAGAACTTCCAGAAAAATGTTTTTCAGACTTCGAGCAATGTATCTGCGGCTGAGACAGACAATTCCGACACCTTGCGGAAACTTGCTAGAAATGTGTCCGAGCTCACAATGCCAGCGCTTCAGATGTAGCCCGAGACCCTCGGCTCGGTACAGAAATATTAAGCTGCTAAGTGATTTCTCCAATGCTGGAATCTTGACAAAGAAAGGGCAGAAACCTGATGTAACCTGATTTCGATGAAGATCCATGAAGGATCGAAGGGGGTAGACAGTTTGGAGGTGCAACAGTTGCGTGCAAAGCATGCTGCTAGCGCCACAGGGGCACAGAGCCAATCTGTCCTGCGGAAGAGTGTGCTGATGTGCGACGAAGCCTTCGGGTTGTACATTAATGGGGTGATTTCACATGATTTCACATATGTGTGCATACGAAGCCGCACTGCAGGTGCAACTTTGCGTTTGGCCGCACGCCTGTTTTCGTGGACAAGGAGGCTTCAGACTTTCTGTTGAAGTTTCGGGTTCTCTTTTCATGTGATTTGGATTTCATTTCTGTCACCAGCATGCTCTCATCCCAGTGATGAAGGGAAAATGCAAACCAATGTGCAAAAATTAACTATATATTATACTCACTGAAAATCAGACGGCAGAAATTGTCCAAGAACACCGAGGCAGTTGTTGGAGCTCACACTTCAGGCGGGGCTCTCAGTGTGCCAACTCTCAAGCTGCCACGTCGCTTGCCATGGTAGTAGGAGGTTTTACTGCCTACGCATCACAAAGTTGGAGAGTGTCTATTACTGTAGATGGATGTATGTATGCTGCCCTGGGCATGGCCCGCGAGCGTCGTCGGAAAGCTCCGAGGTTTTGATTGTCGGATGGCCTCAATACCACCGCAACTGAAGCCAAAGAATGCCAAAGAGGTCTGAAATGGTCTGAAGACAGGGCATGATTTTGCATGGCAGCGTATTGCAGGTCTAGATTGATATAGATTAAACTTCATTTTTCAGGGGGGTCCTTAATGATTGTCAATTTCTTGGAGAAAGCTATGTCAGTCTGAATATGTCAGGCCATGTCAGGCCAGCAGGCTGAATGTCTCCTACTGACGCTGTATGACTGGCCCGTCCAAGATGTTGGTGAAAGCATGTGAAAGCTCTTGGAAAGAGCCTTAGAATTCCTGTCTTCGATTGGGAAAAGCCCTGAAGCGGCATGAAGCGGCAAGGTTGCTCGGATCCTTGGATATACAATGGGTTTGTCGAGGGATGCCGAAAGTTTGAGCAAGTTGTATGGGCTTGTAGAAAGCCAGACAGATCTGTGTAATTTTTTCCAGCTGTGAGATGGCACTTCCCAGCAAGAAGTCCTGACAGGGGCACTCCAACAAACAGCGGTTCAAAATCACATGGACCCACCTGGCAAGAAGTTGACAGTCTGACAATGTTGTTAATGCTGGGTCAGGCTGGAATCGAGGAACGAGCCCTTGCCAGCAAGAATAGCTGTTTCAAGCTGTGCAGCCAGCGAATGCTGGCAGCAGCTCCAGTGAACATAAGTGAATGCTCGCTCGGACCCAAAGAGAGGCGTCCGAAGTCCTTTCGTAACAAAAATAAGTGTAATTGCCCCCCCCCCCACGTCGATTAGACACGGTTTTGCAATACATTTTTAGTGGGGATCTACTTTTCTATCATACTTGGGTGTCTATCCCAGACACTCCATGTATGCCATATATGCTTACATTGACCCCCAAAACCACCCCAATGATACCATACATGGAGTGTCTGGGTATAATAGTGTCACTTTTCTATACTTCACAAGTCGCAGGCCATTGGAACGGATGCCCCTTCCCGCCAGGAAGGAGTCGGTTGCAGCCGCGCAGCAGCTACCGCTCCGTCAGCGGCAACAACTGCTGTACTCCCAGCGGCTTGGCGTCCAAACCGCCGCCTGGAGTGGTGGGTAACGGGCAGACGCCTTTTTTGGTCCAACCCAGACACGACCCTGGACCTGAACCTATGCAGGGGTCGGACCCTGATATGGAGGGGTCTGGACCCTCAAAACCCTATGGTTTTGAGGGACCCAAGGGCTGTTTGGAGCGTCTGGGAAGTCAATGTTTGCGTGGCCTCAAAAGATCTCAAGGAATTCAGATCCGCTGGACATCTCTGAAGGTTCTTACCAGGACCCATTTTCTTGGGTTCCATTCTTCATCCTCCTAGCTTCTCAAGAGTGAGGGCCTTCCACGACAGTGTGCAAGGAAAATTGCCCACACGGCCAAAGGCTGGCCGCACGCTGTTGTTTGACGATCGATCTGTATTGATCGGCATTTATGTCAATTCATCTCATAGTCATCATGGGATGGAACATGCAAGGTCTGGTTGATAAGACATGTTTTCCTGCGTTACGAGTGTTCAAAGAAGATGGAGGATATCCAGCGATTTGATCACGTCCGAAGCCTGGCCAGCCTTCAATCCTCCAATCCAATTGGCGATCCTGCGATCCAGTGACTCTACGGCTGAGGAATCCCCGTCATTCCTCGTCATTCCAACTGTGGGGGGTCAAAACATCCCTAAAGGTCCGCCAGGAGGGTGACCAACATCTCCACTTCCGATGATCCGATGTAGGTAGAATCCCTGTCTGGAGTCCCTGTCTGGAGGCAAGGAGAAGCAGACAGGCGACAGGCGAAGCAGCTACCCACTCCAAGGCTTCGTAAGGCTTCGTTGATGTTGGACCATTTGTTTGGGGGAAACTGGCTGCAAGTGCCAGCATCACGTCCCTCAAAGGCTTTGATGTCAGTGTTTACTCGGACGAGAATCCCCTGCGAAGGTCATGCAGCAACAAAGAACCTCTAAAGGAGGAGTGTGTCCAAGGTCCACCGTGAAAGGAAGGACATTCCTTCCATATGCATCCAAATGCGTGATTCATGATCCTGTTACTGGGAAGTAGAGACCTCAGGTCTCCCAGGTGTTGGTCTTAGCATGTCTTAGCTATGATAGGCATCGGTTTCGGAGCCACTCGCCCCCTGCGACTTCTCTGTTTCCACGGTCACGCCGAGAGAAATCCCTCAGGTTCATTGCCGGAGCCATCAGCTGCTCGGTCGGCGTTCCGGGAGGCGTTCCAGGGGCTGCCGGCACCTGTGGCATCGCGTCGCTTTTGGGTTCCTGAGGTTGGGATCCCAGACACTCCCTGTATGGTATACTTACCTACATTGGGGTGGTTTTGGGGGTCAATGTAGGCATATATCCCAGACACTCCATGGGACTGGTATATTTACCTATCACTTGGGGTGGTTGACTGGAATGCAATGGGGCGGCAGTCCTATGGCAGTCCCATAAAGTGTCTGGGGATGATGGGAAGTGCCAAAAGTCACAGAGCTCCGGGGTGGTTTTGTTCGTCCCATCTTCCGGGCCGGATGTGACGTTCGGGCACCCCGACGGCACCCTCCGAGTCCGCAGCCCGTCGAACGTGACTGCTGGTGGAGAGTGACACTGCAAGTGTGGATTTGCTGTACATATGTGCTTGAAGTGTGAATCAGGGAATGCCCTCAGGGTGGGTCTTGGACCAGGAAACACCACGAGTTTCCCAGTGAGTCTTGTGACTGCTTATGCCTCTATAGATATAACCTTTGCCTCCGCCTACTGTATGACACTATATACTTAGAATCTAACTAATTACTACAAGTCTACTATTGAATGTGCATTTTAGCTTCTATTTATATTTATTTATTGTTTCTAATAGCTTCTTGCTCCTAGTAGCGAGGCCAGGAGCTCCTAGTAGCGTCCGAACGCTCCTTCATTTTACTCCAAGGGGTGCCTCTGGTCAACAGCTCAACAGGTGCCTCAGGTAAACGACGTCGTGATCGCCGACTCCAGAGAGCGGACTCCATTCTGTATCCTGCATCTACTCGACACTTTATACGCTCACTTCGCAGACACTCCCTGTATGGTACATTTACCTACATTGGGGTGGTTTGGGGGGTCAATGGGGCGGCATACATGGCATACATGGAGTGTCTGGGCTTTGCAGTGAAGTACCTGAAGTGATCCGAGGCTCTTTGCCCTTCAACTTCGAGAGCGAGCCACTCCTCTTGATCTACGATGCATGGCGAAAAGCTAGTCAACGGAATTAACGAGGTGAGGCTAAGGCTAAGGGGTGTTCCAGTCAGCAGTTGAAAGGTTTGCAGTGATGCCAACACGGAGTCCTCATGGCCGGTGTGAGGTTTGAGGCTCACAGTTCGTGCAACACCTTCCTCGCGAAGTTCCCCAGATGCATTTGTTCTGTAAAGTCCCACCTCACCACATTGGAATATCCGCACACCCAGTAACAGCCCAAAGTCATTATCGAATCTTCAGCAGGGGCCTGGCGCCTTATCAACTTTCATCCATTGATTCTCTGGTTTTCGCTCCGCTCGGAATTGAACACCTCACAGACCTCATTCATGAGTGCATCACCTCTCACCGTGACCTCCGCCCAGGAGTGCAACCACCACATCTCTCTGCACGCGGGCACTCTTCTAGCGAGTTTTGAGGGAGAAAATACTCCCAAGGATCCGCCGCCACCGGAGCAGGCGAGTTCGACGTGGGCGGGGAGAAGGTCTGAAGTATAGACTTTGGATCCGCACGGTGTTCATGGACTCTGGTCTTTCACGGTAACGTCCCCTCTCTCACTGTTCACAGTCACTCAGCCTTCTCAAAGTTAACGTCTCATCTCTGAGGCCGTCACTAGTAGGTTGAATCGCTAGTAGGTTGTTGCAATTGGCCTGAGGCATGTTCAGCCACAGAAGGAGTCCGGTCGCTACCAAAACACGCCCCAAATCAGAGATTTCAACATCTGTGCGTCCTAGATACTCCTATACTCCATGTCGAAAAGAGAGGACCTTGTTGTCGCACATCCTTTGGAACCGAAACCTGAGGCGGGAAGTGCTCAGTCACACCGTCACACGAAGCCTCCCAGGCAGCCCGTCAGCCAGCTTCAGGTCTTCCTGTCCGCACTTTCGGTGGTCACAAGTGTGGTCCTGAAGAGCGTGATGAAACGAGAATACAATCTCTCAGCAGAGTCACTTGGATCCGGTGCCTGTACGGGGGGGCGAGAGGTTGTACCTTCCGGTGCCTTTCGTCGCGGTCTTTGAAGTCAATTGCGGTCTTTGAAGTCAATCTGCTACAGGTGTTTTCCCATCCATCAAGACTCAGCTTAGGCAACTGGATCAGACGACCCGTTGAAGAACAAGTGCCTCCCATGACGTCTGACCTGAAGACTTGTTCAGGGAAGTCAACGGAGCATCATTGTTTCAACTGACACTCCTCTTCCTCCTCTTGCGCTTCAAAACGGCGGTTGCCGTTTCATCGCACTTGAAAAATCCTCCCTTGCCGTATCATCCATCGAAGTGGATGGTCGTGGCACCACCTGTAGGACGTCCTACCTTGAAGGGCCGTTCCGAAATCGGGGCCATGGAAGCAGTCATCGAAGGACCGTGAAGCCGGTCGTCCAACGGTGAGGACGGAACGGAGTTGCTTCGAAACTAGCATTTTACCACGACCAGGTGACCTTAACCACGAGAGGTGTCCGAGTCCATCATGAAGCAAAATTTGTGCAACAGAAAGTCTGGCTCTCCAAAAGTGGTCTAGCCATGACCTGTACTAGCGATGACCTCTACCCTAGTACGATGGCCTCCAACCTACTAGCAATGGCCTACCAATACTTATACTGTATACTGCTGATTAATTAAACAATAATAAACATCTGAAGTGGTTTTACAATTCAAATGGTGGTTATTGATCAAGACTGTACATCAATGAATCATAATACCTAATCCTTCATTGATGAGAGCCATCCTTGAGATCAGACGTGTAACTTCTTCAAGATCCAAGCCCTTCATCGATTAGCGATCGTACCACGTACCAGTCCTAGGTCAGATCCCGGATCGTATTTAGCACATTTCAGAACCCAGACACGACCTGTCTGGGACTGGTATATTTACCGATCACTTGGGGTGGTTGACTGGGGGTCTTTCTGGGGCGGCAGTCCTATGGCAGTCCCATGGAGCGTCTGGGAGTGCCAGGAGCTAAGCAGGTCACCAGTGCTTTCCCAATGGTTTCCCAGATCGCTCACGAGGGTCACTTGGTGCGAGAAAACCATATAGGTTTAGGTTTTGGGGCACAGAAGCAGGTCTCCCAGCTGAGCGTGGAGGATCTGAGCAAGAACTCAGATCCTGGTGCTGTTTTAATCACAGAGAGAGAGAGAGAGAGAGAGCCAGACTTCAACATGGTGCTTTAGATGATAGGGCTATGTCAAAGGGAATCATTAGAGCACGTCACAGCAACTGACCCCCGGAGAACCAGATGGGTCTGAAGTCGGTTCAACGCCAAACTACCGTCAGCCCAATCTAAGGCAATGTGCGACCTTCAATCCAAGGCGAACAAAAAACGCGTTTTGTTTTTTTGTTGCTAGTAGGTTGGAGGCCATCCCTATAGTAGGTTGGGGGCCATCGCTAGTAGGTTGGAGGCGATTGCTAGATGCGGGTGAGACACCGGGCCTTAGGGCAGATCCAGATCTGAAGAAGACACGTGTCCCCCCCAAAGTCAGATTGTGGAAGTGTCCCAGAGCCGTGGCCATCGGGCGGTCTGGAACCAGCGGAACAGATGTGGGGGAGGAAGGAAGGAAGATGTTGCAGGAAAAGAACAACACAATAACACCAACAGAGGCACGACAAACAATAATAACATGTGCATATGGATTGCAAAAACGATACCAATCCCAAAGACGATACCTGCCTTAAAACTTCCCAGCAAACGACTACGGTCGCTCACACGGGATTTTGTGGAGCAGAACAGTGTGGCATGGAGCAGCCTGTGGTGCAGAGCTTTCTGTGGATGGGAACAATTCCCTCCAAGAGTTTCCTACAGGTCAGAAACTGACCTCATGAGATACTGGAATGGATCATACAAAAACATGTCTCAACGAGCTTTTCGGGACCAGGTTTGGACCTGGATCTTAAATCTCAATATCTACACAGAGGAGCACTCAACCACCTGCAACATGCACCAGGAGGAATGGTTTGGTCCTCCTGACACTAACACGTTGACCAAAACATGCCACGTTGACCAGGTCCTCCTTTCCATCCTGGTGTGTGTGTGTGTGTGTTAAACAACATTGTCATGTTTTTATGTACTGGTCTTCACTCCGCAGGTCCTGATCTTCACTCCGTCCCACCGCTGTTCACTGCCGGAACTCAGCAATAGATGGGTGTGTAGATGTATATATCAGTAGGGAGTCCTGCAACTTCAAGAGGTGCAGGTCTATGTTCCTTTTGGGGTCTTTGGGAGGTCTCCCTGTTTTTATACGCACCCAGTGTCTTAGAATTGGCCCGGCCATGCGGCGTTTTCTCGGTCGCCAGGGACATCCGACAGGAACGCATTGGTCGATCGATGGCCATGTTCCAGCGCGACAAGGACCGCGGATCCCGTTCAGGGGAGGGGAAAGGGCCACGGCGCTGGGAAAATCGGAATTGGAAGGGTCACTAAGCAGGTCGGGAGACCAAGTCTGCTTGATTGGTACCTCTGGGAGGAATAAGGAATTGATAGAATCGGCCCTGGAAGGCAAACTGTCTCAACATTGAGCAGCATTGAACTGTCCGGAATGAGTTGGAATTGCCAGACGCTTCCACTTCCACTCTGTCATTGCCTCCGGTCACTGAGAAGTTGTTGAAATCAAGCGGATTGCGGCCATGGAAGCTTGGTTTTCGATGCCAGGAAAGCCTTCTTCCTCATCTCTTTGCAGATCTTGGAAGGAAGATGTTGTTGTTTGATGACAATCATGCCAATGCTCCAGCACAACCCAGTCAGCCTGTTACAGTCACTCCAAGCAAAAACCGGTTGGAGTATCCGTTGGTCAAACCAGGACCGAAGAAGAAAAAGCCCAGAATTTGCTTCTTCATGATGTCCACCAACACACGACCGACCGTTCCGCAGAAACACACGTTCGCTGCGCGCCACGCCTGCGCGCCAGCGCAGCCCGGTGGACCATCTCCGGTCGAACGCCCAATTTTGACCCTGCTTCCTGACTGGTGACCTGTTCAAGAAGATGAAGAAGCACCCTACATGAGTTCGTGCTCCACAATCCAGCTTTGCAAGAGGAGTAGAGGCCACGGCTTGCCCCATGGCTGGGACGAACGCAAGAATCACATTCCTGAAACCTACAATTGCCCTTACAAAGTGACTGAGGTTATTAAAGTGGTTGCGGAGGTTGATGCACACCTTTTGACAAGTCCAGAGCTCCTTTGGACTTCATCAAAGAAGGGAGCTATACCTTTGGATGAAAAACCGTCACCTATTCATGAAAAACAGTGTATGCTTCTACAGTTATAGGTCACCATTCAATATATAGGTCCTATCGGTTTCTTGACAAACTCCGCCAGATGCCAACCTCATTCCCAAAACGCCCCACGGCCGCTCCAGAGGTCCCACACTTTGCAGCCTGAAAAGAGGTCCCCTTTGTTGGTCCGCAGGCCATGGGACCACCGACCCGCGCCCTGGGACCACCGACGCACGGCGTTCGCACAGGAGGAGGGGGCTGGGACGAACCCTGTGCGGAACCGCTTTCCCGCGGCCGAGTGGCTGGAAAAGGCGATGCTCCGAACGCGGACGGGAAAGGAGGGGAAGAGGTGCCGTGCGGAAAAGAGTGACATCAAGTGAGCAGCGTTCAAAACCTAATAGCGATGGCCTCCAACCTAATGGCGATGGCCTCCAACCTAGAAGCGATGGTCTCCAACCTAGAAGCGATGGCCTCCAACCTCATGGCGATGGCCTCCAACCTTTCTAAAGTGCGGCTTCTTTGGGATTGGAAGACTGTTAGGGAGATGAAAGGGGATCTTAAGGGGTGTTTGTTCTTTAAACTTGCACGGGTCCTCGGTGAACTCAGAACTCGTCAGAACTCAGAACTGCAGGTGATGCCCTTGGTGAAGAACTTCTCCAACTCCCCCGAGATCGCGGCCTACATTTGGGAGCTCACCGATGCCGATCCCTGGGATGACAGCCGTGCGCGGCACGAGCACAAGCTCTCCGCGCTCGAGGGCCGCCGCACCAGGGGCAGCCGCGCCGCTGCCGGCGCGGCGCAGGCGGCGACGCCCAGCCGCGCGGGGCGGAAGCCGAAGACGAAGATGGAGCCGAAGAAGAAGGGGCGGAGGCAGGGTGTCCTTCTTTTCTTTCCCCTTTTCGAGAAGACATTTCTTGGGCGAAGATGGGTTTTGGGCGAAGTGGATGGGAGTTACACCTCGGAGTAGCCAGGAATTGGGCAGCGAGGAGGTCTCTCCGAACCGGCCGTTTGGGAGGTATTGATTGGTGAGTTTCTAATTGGCAAGCTGCCAACATTCCCTATGGATCCACATACCGAACCTGAGGTACGGTGATTGGAGACTATTTATGTAGGCGCCAGGAGAGTCCAAGGACGCCTTCTGAGAAGGTGGCAGTGGATCGATAGGGAACATGACTCAGTCCACTGGTTGATTCTGGAAGTTGCCTGAATCGAACTGGTTGAATTTCTTCATGATGGAACCATGAGTTGTCGAACCATGTGGGTAGAGTGACTCTTCCCGGGGTCTAGACGGACTCGATCTTGCTTCTTCAAAAGCGAGTCTCCAGCAACATTGACTGGCCAGGCCAGTGATGCATGGGGCGCGAGCTTCGCGTTTCTACCATGGGTTTGGTCATGACTCACGTGTCACGACTTTTTTCAGCCCATGGCTGTTCCGAATGATTCCTGACATTTGCGGTCGATGTGTCCATCGCCATCGCCATCGCCTGCGAACTTGGGAAGAGATCGACAGATCGGTGATTCCCTGGTGTGTCTCCAACATGTTCCAACGTCTCCTCCGCAAGTGTGCAACATCTCCTCTCCAAACTCCAAGCCCACAAAAGCAGTTCAAAGAGATTGCAGAAAAGCTTCCTCCTCAAGAGGCTATCAGGAACAAGTGCATCGCTACTAGTAACGAGGGCATTACAGCTAGCTAGCTACTACAAGTAGTAGTAATGCCCTTGTTACTAGCGATGCACAGCCTTGTTACTCGTATAGCTTCCTCCTCAAGACGGGGGCAGCTGAAGAGACGACTCGCCGAGTCACTCGACGCCGTAGGCGTGGCTACGAGTCGGACGAGGACTCCGACTACGAGGTGGGCGTGACGACCGGAGGGATGAGGGATGCGACGACCTCGGGTCGCCTTTGACTCTGACAGGTCGGCGACCTTTTCAAGTCGCAGGTGGTGGCAGTGAAGGTCCTGGTAGATGTGAAATCACCAGTTGTTGTTCACTCTTTAGATAGTGCGGAGCCAAATGACGCAGCAACAGATGGTTTCGTGGTTTGGCTTTTGGGGCTTCATGGAAGAGCACATGAGCACAAAAGATCTCCAGTATTCCCTTTTTGGGGACACAAAGATGATTCACTTGGAAAAGGACTCCTTTCAAAGATGGAATGGCCAATCCAATCATGCCATGGCTCAGCCCATTCGCCGCTCATTCGCCAAACATGGCGCTTTGGATGGTCCGTTGCTTTGATGGCTTGAGATGTTCAGGCTCGCACTCATTTTTCTTCACGAGGGTCCTGGCACCATTCTCCCGTGGAACGGGTTCTCCCCGCCTTTCGACCCGTTTTGCATTGTGCCACAAGTGCCAGTGGACGGGAGGTGGGACGGGGGTGGGTGGTGATCGGACCATGAAGATTGTCCAGCGAAGCATCTAATCCTTTTCATCCCCAGACACTCCATGGGACTGCCATATATGCCTACATTGACCCCCCCAAACCACACCAATGTAGGTAAATATGCCATACAGGGAGTGTCTGGGATCTGTAGAATCATGTAGAATCTTAGATGAATAACCCGCCCATTTGGGTTGTAAAACATCTTCTACCCATCTCCCGCAGTACAGGAAGGGCCCTGGGTTCCCGTGCTGAGAACCTCCAAACACTTCAGCAAGTTTGGTTGTCACAATCCAGCAACCCCCAGTCTCCTGAAGCTTTGACTCTCGGATGGGACGAAAAAAAACGATACCCACTCGAAAAATGAAGGTTCTTGGGCAGCCAGAAGCAGTCCACCGATCCTTTGAAGCAGCCAGAAGCAGTCCATCTCTCAACTCCCTCGCGAAGAAGCGACGTTCTTACCGCGGTGAGACCAAACAAACTACGCCTACCCACTCAGACTGCTGGGGACTGCAGGGTTAGCAGGGTTAGCAGCATCTCCAACTTCCAATTCCGATGAAGCAGCATCCAATTCCGATGCTTAGTAGCTTATTGTCTCTAATAGCTTTCTTGTTACTATACTTATAGTAAGGCACTTGTTCCTAGTAGCGATGCACTTGTTCCGTTCGTAGCTTCTTGCTACTACTAGTAGGCACTTGTTGGCTGCACTGTCTTACCCTACATCCGACCTTTGGTTTGTTCGATGTCCATCGCGTTCCGCCGGTGGTTCGACCAGAACACCCACCGTGCTTCGAGCGGCGCCAGGCCCCGAACCGGAAGCGCCCCAGGGCACGAGCACGGGAGGTGCGGAGCGCTTGCTTTGGGAGCGCGGCCTGGCAATGCGCTGGCCCCCCTAGTATGAGTTGCTTTGGGTGGTTGGATGTTCTATCCTGGACCGAATGTGTTCTATCCTGGACCGGTTCTTCCTCAAATGTCACGTAGGCCCTCCAAGATCCTCATCTATTGGCACTTCTGACCGATGTTCTTCGGAGCACGTCGTCGAAACTGCGCGGTTTTCAGCCCGACCGTAGTGTAGGCCCTACGTTGCATCCCCATGGATTCCAGGGTGCGGCGCGTGGCGGATTCCGGGTCCAGCTCGGCCCCATGGTTTCGACCAAACGTTGACCTGCAAGTTCTGCAGGCAGCACCTGCGGCTGATGAGGTGGGACGGGTTTTCTGGCGGACTTGTTGAGGTCTCAAGTCGTGATTTCACCTTCTAAGCAAGCGATTGACTAACTCAACATAGCTGCACTGTTCACTGAAACTGGGTGGCTCACTTTTTGCAGACAAGAACGCAAAAGATTCACCAAGTGAGTTCTTCTGCAACAGAAGTGTCGAGTTCCAATCAACGGTCACGCGACCGATCTGCAGTGTAGATGGGTCGATCAACTCGACCGAGACGAATGATGAATGCTGGTTCAATCTCCGGTGCTCCTGCCCGGCAGACGCTGGCAGTAGAAACGATCTATCTACCTGGAGTCTCAAAGTACCACGGAAAATGGGTACAAGATGGTACAAGTCTAGTACCTGATATTAGGGGTCATGTCCCATTTTCTAAGGTACTTTGGAGGGTCTAGGTAGTTGTTTCTTGACTCGGGATTTTTGTTGCGTCTGTGCGACTGCATGCAGAACAGAATTAATGTGCTCGACTGGATGGAAAGATGTGTTCGACTTTTGGTTGACTTGAAACATGTTATCTGGAGTTGTCGTAGACTCTGATTCTGTATGCCATTTCTGGGTTGACATTGTGAAGCACCCTTGGATCTACATGGATCTACTGTAATGTCCAACCTCTTTGGTGACTGTTTATGTTGCAAGATGTTGCAAGGATGCATCTAGTTCAAGATCAGTGCTGGCATCCAGCTTGGATGATCGTCACCAAATGGGAAGATCACATGAACTGCCCTCCGGTGGTTGGGCCTACCAAGTCTCAATTGATGACCTGTAGAGTCGGGTCCTGGTATGAATGTACAGTCTATATACCCAGACACTCCATGGGACTGCCATATATGCCTACATTGACCCCCAAAACCACCCCAATGTAGGTAAATATACCATACATGGAGTGTTTGGGATATATATATATATAATATATATATATATAACATATTGATGAAGACATGGCATGGGTTTTCAACAAACAAACTGTCCACATCCGTCCACCAACTGATGTTTTTCTGTCTGTTTCAGGCCTCTCTGCCTCTTCTTTCCAACTGGTCATCCACCAGAAACGCCATCCTCTCTGCCCCCCCGCAGGGTGCACGTCCTCTGCGCCGCGTCGGACGCCGGACGCCGGACGCGCCAGGAGTCGGATCTGGAGCCGCAGGACGTGGACTGAGGCGGAGCGGAGCGGACGCGTCGACGAGCAGGGTGGAACAGATCCCAGACACTCCATGGGACTGGTATATTTACCGATCAGTTGGGGTGGTTTTGGGGGTCAATGGGGCGGCATATATGGCAGTCCCATGGAGTGTCTGGGGATGGAACCGCCAAGAGCATCCGACTTCAGTCGTTTTGATCAAGAACAACAGACCAAACCTGATTTGGAGTTCCAAGGGCTGAGGGTTTGGTCACAAGGACCTGCAGTATTTGGGGGGGGGCTCAGTTCTTGATAGATTCCTCGCTTCTGCCTGGAATGGGGTGAATTCCTCCCCTTCACTTCAAATGTAGGTTCCGAAGCGCCACTCAGTTCCAAGGGACGCGGTTCGTGTTTGGTGGTTGTGCGTGTGTGTCCCAGACACTCCATGGGACTGGTATATTTACCGATCAGTTGGGGTGGTTGACTGGGGGTCAATGGGGCGGCATATATGGCAGTCCCATGGAGTGTCTGTGTGTTGTTTGGTTTTGTTGAACTGCAACTCGGTGTGTTTGAACGAGCCGACGTCAGTGTTTTCCTCATGTGAACGTCCAGTCCGGTCGCGGAGCAGCTCGGAATTGTTTGCCAGGAAACAGGCCTACTAGCGATGGCCTCCAACCTAAGCGTTTTTCTCACAACATGACTTCAAGAAACTGAACAAGCCACTTGTCCATTTCTTGATATTCAGATTCCTGTTGCCCAGAGCCCCAGGGCCCAGGGCTGTGGGTATATTGTTCCCACCTTTTTCATGGGCGTGACTGCTTTGTCTAGTACACATTGAAGAACGCACATCAAGACGAACTGATAGGAAGGTGACCCACACACTAAAGGCCGCAGACTGGCCTAATATCCATCGATGTCCATTCATTCAATCATCCAATCTAAGTTTAGGCCACGGAATGCAAGATGTGTGTCTATGGACACCACAAACGCGTGTGATTAGGCAACGCGGGGGAGGATTGAGGATGGCCCATCATTTGTCGACTAAGACGTTGTTTGTACAGATCTTGGATGTTTTAATTCAAACACTGGGAGGGAAGACTGATAGAAGCCAGCATGGAGTCTTCTCCCTTCGAAGCCGTGCCGGGTCTTCATCCACGCTGTCATCGGCGACAGGTGGAAGGTGGAAGGTGGCAGCCCCACGTTTCACCCGAGTAGTTCGTCTCCAGGTTGAAGCTTCAAGTCACAGCGGGAGT